TTTGTGCTGCAAAACTTTATTTGCTATAAATGCAGAGTATTATTGCAGGGTTGTATCCTGTTTGGAAATGACCTCATCTTGCTTCTGTTAGTGGTTAGCAGTTTTGTACCACATGATCTATGAATAATACACCGCACATAGCTCTCCGGAAAACATCAGAGCTGTGAGATTGATGCCTCTCAGATTGAGCTGTTATACTTCACTTCCAACTCAGTTTGGGATAATAATATGACAGCATTCATTTTGTGAAACTAAACTGTGTGTTCTTTCATTCAGAGATATATCTCTGGGGTGCTGTAGCTGCTTACCAGCCCAGAGCAGGCTGTCATCCCATGAAGTGCAGTTCCCCAGTCCTCCTAATTTCCCCACATTCAGGAAGATGAATTCACTTGGATTTACTTAGCCCTTAGGTGAAGTTCTGTGTGTCAGGACTGTTTTGTTTGGTTTTTAAGAGACAGAAATATTCAGGACCTCAGCTTTTGGAGACTATGGCCATTGCCTTCCTTAGCAATTTTCTGTAGTACAAGCAGTAGCTCTTGAAATACCTAAGAACTCAGGTGACTTCTTTTTGTCATCTGATAAGGAGATGATGGCTTGGTTTTGCACATCTGTTCATAACAACTTCTGGGCCAGGACTCTCTCTTGGCCTGTTCTCTGTGTCCATCATTTTCCATGTGATGAGTGCTCATCATGCTCATGCACCACCTCGGAGAAAGTTACTCATCATTAACAGAAACCGGATGAGCAACCAGCAGTAACTGCTGCGGTTCTTAGCCAGAGCAACTGAATCCCAGGAGGGTATTGTCTGAAATAATAGGAAAAAAAAACGCTACTGCAGGAAACCTGTGCTGGATAGATCATTCATAGAGAGGGAAACTGCTCTTTGGTGTTCTCGCTTATTTGTATTGATAGGCATCCCCTAATAGTGGTGTAGGGAGGTTGGTGGAATCATTCTTTAACTGCAGGAACATCTCTGACTCCCCAGTGTTCTCCAGATGCTTTCACCCAAATCTGTCGGCAGTTGGCAGTGTGAAGCTTTCTTCAAAGTGCCACTACGAGAGCTGGCAGCGTCCTGCTTATTGAGATGGCTAAGATACCACACTTCTGGAATATAATAGCCCTTTCTTTCTACAGCCCCCCTTTGCTTTGGAATGGATATTTTCTGTTTTCTTTTTTTACCAGCCTTTGTTTTAAAAGGGCTATTTTTTAAAAGAAATTCAATTAGAAAAATCAAATAGATTGTTTTTATTATTATTAAAAAGCATGTTTAATGGAAAGCAGGGGAAACACAACAATCTAAATATGTTCAAAAGAAAGATGCTGGGGTGAGAGGAGGATGACTTGGAAGAGGAAGGGAATTGGGAGAAGTTTGACTTGCAAATCTTATCACAGAAACTGTTCTGTTGAGGGTGATGTCCAGTACAAACAAGAAGTGGTGGAAGCACCATCTTTTGAGACTGCTGAAACCAAAAGTAAAACACTGAAAATCCCAAATATTATTCAGCTTTGTCCACCTCCTACTGCTCTATTCACAGCCTCCCAAGAAGCACAGCCCTTCACCAACACTGTAGAGCCAGAGATTTTTCTTGTCCCAGGAAGATGCTACATAAGGGGATCAGCAAGGGCACTGCCATCATCTAAGCTAGGTTTTCACCAAGTAGATGAGGGAGCAAGAATGTTTTACTGTGAGGTTATATGAAATTAAACAAGGTTTCTAATTTAATTAATTAAATTAGTAAGGAAGTAGAGAAGAGCCAGGCTGACTGCATCACCATCATATATAAATACTACCATTGCTATAAGATTGCTTGGCATCAGCTGTGGCATCATCCACAGTTACCTGCAGGAAGAATTCAGGACCCATGTGGAAAATAACATCCACTGACTGCAGAACCAACCTGTCCTCAGCCTCCAGCATAGGAGCATGCACAGATGTTGGTGCTGCAGGAGGCAGAGGGAGCAGGGTGGACTGCTTCTGAGTTTTGAAAGTCGAACGATGGGCGGATTGTCAGGATCAGCATTTCTTTAATTAAAACCTGTACTCTGTGAGCTCAGGCTTCTGGATTCCGTGTTAGCACTGGTTCATCTTCATCTTCTCTGGGCCTCAGCTATTTGTTAAATGTCAGCCAAAGACTTAGATTGCTCTCGGTGGCCTTAGCTAGCTTTGGTAAAGTACTTTGTCCACAGCCCGTATACCCCTTTATTATTATTAACAACAAAAGTAATAAATCTAGCGTAACAAAAACCCGTAAGGGAGAGGGATATTTACTGGATTGCAGTTGGGGCACTCTGCTGGTTTTGAAGAATGGCATGCACGGTTTTTACACATCGTAAAATATCCTGACTGCAGCTCCTTGGCCCTGAGCAGCTCCACACTGTAATGCTGCTGCTGCATCCAGAAATGAGCGAGGCCCAGTTTGCAGGAGGGATGCAGGAGGGAACTGCAAACTGTTGGTGTCTCAGCGGAGCAGATTACCCCATAAATTGTGGGAGGTGGAAAATTCTTGCTGTCTGGTTACCGCATCTGACCACAGTCCCACCAGGAGCTGCAGAAACATTTTGCTGAGCTCCCCAAACACAGCCTTTGCCACGAGGCTTTATGAGAAGCACAGGAATGAGCCATTCTGCTGCTTACATGAAGACTTTGCTTGTTGACTTTGCATTTGTGAAGGGAGGTTTACTCTAAGCTATCTGTCTTCAGATACCTATCCCTGTTCCTGTGGAGTCGTGACCATTGTACTCCTTTTTAATGCTGCAGCAGTGAGCCCTATTCATAACAGTGATTGCCCAGAGGGGTGCACAGGCTAAATTGGGTATTGAAAAGTGTTTTAACCTTCAGCATAGCAGCCTAGGGGTTGTATTATTAAAGAGGTACCTCCCTTCAGTTGTAATTAGGGAAATTGCCATCTGAGTGATTAATCATCCGATGCAGCAGTGTGTGGTACATGCAGTTAAGGCACTTGAATTGGAATGGTTGAACACAGATTTCCTATCATCCAGATTTGCTGAAAATCCACACTTTTAGTGCCAGGCAGCGAGCCCTAAGGCACTTACTGCCTCTGCTAACAGAGTCTGTTTCTAGAAGGTTTTGCACAGAAAATTTCTGTGTTTGACTAGGGTAGGACTGGCCAGTCTATGACGCCAGGTGAGGCTGAGAACAGCAGGGCAGCTAGTCCATGCTACTGCCTTTGGGCACACATGTGGGAGCCTGGGGCTGAAGGTGGCCCATTACTGCTGTCTGACCAGGCATCTGCTGGGGGACACCAAGGAGCTGTAGTGGGTAACATGAAGAACCACATTAAGGGACAGAATTCTGACAGTGGCCAAAACATTGGATGTGACCAAAATCAGGCATGGGACCTCCTGTGTTATGGATTTGGCACCAGGACTTCATCGGTGCCCGCTGCTCTTAGTGGGTGTTGAGGAGCCTGGTCCTCTGAGCATCATTTCGATCAGCGAAGGTTTAAGATTTATTTTTGGAGGGACATACACTGTGAGGAGGCTCGTGCCTACAGGCAGCTTTCTGCAGCACTGAAAGCACTGTGCCTTCGTGAGATAAGTGATGTGGGGAGATGCAGAAAGTCACGGTATTTCCAGTTGTCTTTTCTTCTTTTCAGTAGGAGCTTTGCAGCAGTTACTCTGTGAATGAACTGCTTCTGTGTTATGTTTATAAAAGGAATGCACTGTTAGCAGTATCTTATCTGCATTTGTTATTTGAATTAGGCTGCATGCTGGGGTATGAGAAATAGAGTCTCTGTGTGGCTTTTCTTATTTCGAAATAAAAGAGACCAAACAGAATTTTGTTTTGCTCTCCCCAAACAAGCAGATGTTCTATCCATTAGCAGCTGGAGAAGCTGCTCGGGGAACTTTCCAAGTGCAGAGGAGCCTGCATTAAGCACGTAGCATCAGTCTGGGTGCCCGTAAAGTCTCACAGGCATTATGCTGGAGGACATTCAGTAAACTTCACAGCTTGCAATGTTGTTGAAGATTTATTTGCTAACTGCTTCTTGTCCAGTGACAATTAAATCTTTCTGTGCTTGGCTCTTCCCTTCATAAAGAGATAGAGCTTGAAGGTGGAGCTAGAAGCCTATGTGTGTGCATACAGGCTACCCAAAAGGAAAGGACAGTTTTCTGTTTTGAGGAGGGCAGCAGCTGGCCCAGGCAGAGGAGAATAAGGTACATCACACATGCAGAGCAGATGTTTCCAGCTTGCTGTGGTTGTGGAAGCCATGTATATGACACAAGTAGGAAAGTAGACTGAGGTAGTACAGTGATTACTGCACAGAAAGAAGAGCGATCTTTGTTAAGGTGTGCCTTTACATATAGGATCATAGAATGGCCTGGGTTGAAAAGGACCACAATGATCATCTAGTTTCAACCCCCTTGCTATGTGCAGGCTGCCCACAGTCTCATCCAGCCTGGCCTTGAGTGCCTCCAAGGATGGGGCATCCACAACCTCCTTGGGCAACCTGTTCCATTGTGTCACCAGAATACATAACCTACAGCAACCCAGGTTAGCTTCAAAGAAACCTGGAACCAGAGATAATAAGACACTGCACCAGCACACAACCCCCACACATCGTGTGAGAGTTGGAGGAGGACTCACAGTCACTGCTGCATTGAGCTCCCTGACATGCTTCGGGTTCTACAGCAGTGGGTGCAGATCCATGGCTTGTGATAGGCACCAGCTGCATCAAGGGAAGCCCCAGAGGGAAGCACAGGTTGTCCTTTCTGCAGATGAGCAATCATTCCTGACACAATAGGGGTTTGCCACCTGCCCTGCTTGCAGCTGCAGTTTCTGCTTCCATCTCCCATGCACCATCCTCTGTCTTGCACGAAAGCAGGGCTACTACCCAACAGCTCACTCACTGTTTCCCTTGCTTTGCCCTGCTAGAATGCAGCTGGCTGCCAATCTGTCCACAGCCTTCTAGCCTTTCCATAAACTGCTAGTTGTCTTACACTGGTTCTTCCCTCCTCAAACCCTGCAGGATGTGCACTGCAGCTCCTTTCATCTTGGGTACAGTTCCCTTTTCTCAAGACATTTCCCATCAATGTGCCTCTTGTGTCCATTGCCAACAGCTTCTGCGCAGGCCAGCTCTGGACAGATCTGCTTGCTCAGTGCGTTATCTCTGATGCAATCCTTTCCTCCTATGGAAAGTGACAAAAATTGCTTACATTAAAGCAATGACAGTAGGCCTTGAAAGGATAAAGCTTCCTTTTTACTTTGAGCTGTATTTGCAGTAAGACTACCATAACTGTGGTGCTCTCTTGTGCTTACTGACACAGGAAAGAATGTGTGATTTGGGATTTTATGCTACTTACAGCCTGACACCGTTCCCATGAACTATACAGAGAATTGCTCTTGTTTTTTTAGCACCTTCCTCCCACTTTTCTGTGGGTCGGGAACAGTGAGAACAGAGCACTCCCTTGAGCATGGGGTTTAAAACTCCATGATCTGAGAGCAGAGACTTGTCAGCACTGGCAAATCGTCACCTTGGCAGGTCCAAGATGCAGCCCTTTGGATGCTCTGCTGTCCCTTTTGGTTAGGAGGGAGCACAGCTGTGGAGAAACAAAACATGTGAGTCACCATGGGAGGGCTGAAAAGCTGCATTCTCCCTTCCTCCAGCTAAGCCTGGTCTAAACATTCAGAGTTTGCTTTCAGGAGGACAAAAGCTTTCAGATGCAGCACTCCACCAATTTTACAGGTGGAGTACTCCATTCTTTTGTCCAAGCTGCCATCAGAGGATCTTCTCTTGGCAGCAAGCAGCCTGACTGTACAACTCTTAAACTGGTATTTTTGCATCCTGGTTTATGATTTGCTATTATAAATGCTATAAATTAAGGAGGTAGCACTGAAAAAGAGATTGGGATTTTATGTGCCTTTTGTTCTCTTGGTTGATCATTGTGTGGTGTTGAAGAAATCGTTTGATCTCTCAGAACCTCTGAGTATTTGCAAAACAGGGGTGGTGCCTACCAGCTGGTAAAATGCAGGGAGGAGATAGAAGGGGAGTTAGCATAGTGTTAATCTTCCAAATTCGCTATAATTTGTATAATCCCTCTATTGCCCTTGGTGTGCATGCAAGCCTCCTGTAAAGCTTTTGTCTTTAGAAACTTTCCTGAACACATCAAATGACTTTGATGTGCATGCATGACTTTGACTTGCATGACTTTCTTGTCAGGCAAGGCTTGAGAATTTAATCTCTGACTTTGCATAACAATTACTTATACATACCAGCATCTTCAAAAGCATCATACTTACCTTTGATAGAATTAACATTGTTCTTCCCTCCTTTCTTCCTAGCATGCACACAATAGTGCTTCAGCTGATCAGTGCTGCAACTTGTTAACCTTGCAGAGGAGACAATAAATTGTCATGGCTTTGTTGTTCCCCTACAATAATAATCCTCACGGTAATCCTGAAGCTGTTACTCAGCATGGGCAGCACTTGGATTCCTGATCTATTTCAGCTGTGGTTTTTCAGCCTTCTTTAGGTTTGCCAAGCAGCCTCGTTTCTTTAGAGAGCTGTTCCACCTTCTGAGGCAGAGGAATTTCTCCCCAGATCACGACAAGCTTGTTTTGCTTCATGATAGCTGTTACAGCTTTACTTAGGTGTGTTTTTGCATGCTGTCATGTGAAGGAGACTGTTGACTGCAAATAGCTCAAAATTCTTGCAGTATGGAAAGAAGAAGTTGCCAGAGACAGAATTTCCAAGTCATGGCTGGCTCCCTGGTGTTTTTAAGAGCAAACTAGCCTAGCCACTTGTTTGCAGGTGTTTCAGTGCTGCAGGCTCCTCTGTACAACACAGTGTCTGCAGGCTATCATTGCAGGCTGGGGACGAGCTACCATCTAGCAGTAGCACCCACAGACAGCAGCAGGTAATTCAGAGCTGGGGTTAAACATTCCTGAAATGTTGGGGAAAAGCACAACAGTTTTGTTAGAAATTTCTTAATTGGCACAAGCAAAAAACTTACTTTGTCCCATTGTTATTGCTCATGAAAAAATCTCCTATTCCGCAGCAAAACAAATGAAGCAGAAGAGTGTTGGGGAATGGTAAGTCAGAGTTCAGCAATTTCTCAAGGGCCCACATCGTGCTGTCACTGAGATAATTATCAGTATCTTACATTCTTAATTGCTACCTTAACTGAAAGAAGCAGAAGCTCCCAACTGCTGGCCCTTCTACGTGCTGTCACCATTTGCCCCTGTGCCATCTTATTTCATTCATAAATATAAAGGGATGAGCTTTCAGATGTTACTGACTGCTTGTCAGAGTCTACCACAGACAGATCTCCCTATAAATTGGTTGTCTTTTCCTCTGTTTTGCTCTACACTAACTGTTAATAGTGTTGGTTTAATTTAACATTTTAGATGAGACAGTTTGTATCTGGCAACATTATGCTTCTGAGTCTTTATGGAAACTCAAAGGTCTTCGAGCACTTAGGCTGAGTAAATGATTGGAAAATATTTCTCTGGTATGTGCATGGGACAAGAAAGTGGATTTTAAAAGGTGTTTATTTTTATTAAAGGCTATTTGTGTTACCTTTTCTTCAGATTTTCTCAAGCAGACCACGTATGAAGTCGAGGCGTTCTTAGAAGGCATTCAGTTCTTCCGACAGGAGAAGGGCCACTATGGGACATGGGAAATGACAACCGGCAATGAAAAAGAGGTAAACCAACATCTTCCTGATGTGGGGGGCTTTGGCTGCCGCAGCTATGAGAACAGAGGCGGTTATAAAGCTTCCTGGGGAAAAAAAGTATTTTAAAAAGAAATGCTAAAATGCAGGAAAACGCAGGCAATCCTTGCTGTGTGCTGCATTGGGGCGTGCTCCGTCCTTCTGCCTTTTCTGCTCTTCTGCAGATAAGAAATGTATTTTCTTCTGTTGCAATTGCCTTCTTAACAACAGTTTCCAGTTCCTTGTGGTCCAACGCCTCCCAGTGCCATCAGAGGAGATGAGGCTTTATGAAGAAGGGCAGCCCCGCGTGTGTTTTGAAGGATCTCTTCATTTTGCTTTTCCCCATTCTTTGCAAATGGAGCTTTAGTCCTGAGCAGACAGGCTGGTAGACCTGCTGCACGTGTGCCAGCCTTCTGAAGCATTGCTCAGGAGCAATTACACTCAGAATGCCAAAGATTGATGCACTTGAAATGATACACTGAGCTCAGGATCGAGGTCCATACTCAGGCACCTGTGTGAGCAAGTGGAACACTGATGGTAGCTGAAGTAACTCTGCTGATCCCTCTAGCATCACCCCAAATATATTTTAGTGTGACTCAGACATTATTTGGGCCCTGGTTTATATGGTTTTTTTTTTTCAAAGCACTCAGCAGCGAACATTTACTTTCATACCAGCTGTTGGGTGTTTTCCTTGGTGAAGTATGGTTTCTCTTTGGGAAGATGGCAAAAATCTGATAGAGCTTTCAGGACGCAGGGTTTTGTTTTAAGAAACCAAATAATGCATTTGGAAAAAGTAAACCTTGGAAATGCTGAAAAACGTGGAAAATGAGGAAGAATCTATAAGCAGCATCTTTCCCAGAGCCACCACACTGGGGGTCAGTTTCTGCTAACATTTGAGAATAAATACCATAATGTAAGGAGTTTAATTGTTCCAGTGGAGGGACTGAGTTTTTCTCTTCTTCCTTCCCCCCTCACATTATGGAACTGTTATAGCACTAGTTTCATTTTATGTTTTATTTTGCCTACTGCTTGCCAACTCTTTATTCACAACGCATAAAGCTCAAGAGGACCATAATCAGAAGACATCCAGACTAGTTATGCTATTATCCTCTTAGCAATATTTCATTCTGTAAATAGAGTGTGTTCTCATGCCTATTTCGACTGAGTAGAAGAATTGTTTTAGGCAAATGTCCAAGCTAAGTGAATGGTTTGGAGCAAGCAGGCTACAATTTGTTGCTGTAAAAATTTCTGCAGAATGCCAATAAATACATTTACTGACATTGGTTTATAATGGCAGACTCTCCACAGGATGTGCTAAAGCAGTCATTAGCTCACGCAGCTCTGCCTAGGTACTGCAGCATGGATTTAGCAAAACAATTAGCCAGGAACTCTGCTGAAGAGCTGCCAGAGTGCTGGGGAGTTGCAGAAGTTTCTTTCCCTGATTTTGTTTTTCTTCTTTTTCTTTTTTAATATTTTATTATTAACAGAGGATATGTTGAATTGCAGGTGGTATTTCTGTAGGTAAATGCTGAAAAAAATCAAAACAGCAAAGGTTTTGGCAGTGCATGTTATAGGCAACAGAACAGCCACACAGTGAGAGCACTGCAACACCATGATGTTCCAGCATAACTCTGTTGATCAGTACTACATGAATGTAGAATAACTTACTTGTAAATCAAGGGATTAAAAAACCTAACCCCCCTCTGGCGTTTTTTGTTTTTTGTTTTTAATTTCTCCATTTTATGGTGCTCCAGTTTGGGTTATTTGTGAGATTTCTCTTAAGCAATTTAGCCATCTATGGCCTCAGTTATTCCAGTGGTTTTGACAGTGATTTGAGTCAGCGTAGCTGAATCCACAGGGTGCTGCAGCATAATTTGTAAGTGCTTCAGCTGCATGAAACAACACTAGGTTGTTGCAAATCATAGAAACATTGTACTAATATACGTTATATTAGTACATAGGATATTGGGTATTAAGTTTCTGTAGGGATTGCTTTATGCCGAGGAGACACGTTAAGACCTGTGGCATCCAGGCAAAGCCCTTCTTACTCCTGCTGTCTAATTTTCTGTTATTTCCCAGTCATGTTCCCAGTGCATGGTTGGTTTGTTGATAGCAGGAAAGGAGGAGCACATTACCACAAAGGGAGCCTTTCTTGCACAGTGCATTTGCATTCTCTGTCAGCTCAGCCAGTGGCTGGGTGCATCAGGACAGTGATCCTTTGAGGGCTGTGCTGGGCATCATCAAATCTAGAAGAGGTGGCTTCAAATATGCATTCATTTAGCATAACCCTGTTCCAGTATCACTGGAAGGAAAGGAGGACAACACAGTTTGTGAGACTTTATTGACACTGTTGAGCAAACCAGTAATTCTTCACCCAGATAAAGTGGGGAGTGTACAGAACCTGAAGATATATTTTGTTTTTTTTTTTTTATAGAGTTCCCATGCCTCTTGTTGATTTACAGGATATCCACCACACCTCAAAGCTTTCAGGATGCTGTGAGCAGCTTTATATGTGCTGTACAGTCAGGACAAATGAAGAGCCTTGATGAAAGGTTTATGTGCCATTCTGTATAGCATATGCACAGTAGTATTGCTTCTGTCATCATAAGTTAGCAACTGGGGCTCTGTAACTGTGGGCCAGTACAAATATATACTGGGGCAAGATCTATGAACAGAAAATGAACACATCCAGAAGAAAAAACAGATTTTCCTCCCTCTTCTGAATTATAAGTAGTGACTGAATAAGACAAGAGACTGAGGTCCAAATCAAGACACTTTGTGTAGAGGAAGTTAAGAATCCAGCATGTCTCCAGCACTGGTTGATGCCTCTGTGGGAAACATGTTCAGAGACAAGATCAGCAAGAAATAGAAATGGGGCTGATCCTGTAATGAATTTTTTCCTCTGCAGCCCCAGTGGATCGTCTTGTTGGCCATGATAGGAAAATGCAGGAGGAGAAAAGGTTTTGCAGCTTTCTCAAGTCACAGATACAATGTTTGCAAATGCAAATATGGGGAGGACAGGTTAAACTCTCAAAAAAGATTTGTGCCTGTGACTGTGTATGTATGGCCAGCTTGGTGCATCCATGTGGGATGAGCAAGAAAGGATTTGTCATTCAGACCTAGGTAGAGGAGGAGCAAAACCTGATGGAAGTGCAGGGCAAGTGATTCGGGAGAAAGCTTGGTGAGAGAGAGTTTCTGAAATAGGGGATGAGGGTGAAACCAGGGAACTGCCTTGCACTGCTTGATTATTTCTGCATCGAGGAAGAAAGACCTTCCTCTGTGCAAAGGGAAGGCTATCAAGAGACCTGCAAGGCCAGAAATAAGTTAAAAGGGGATCTCTGGAGGTCGTCTGGCCAGTCCCCTGCTCAGAATAGTTGTGCAGTTAAGCTCAGAAGGTAGCCAAGGCTGGAGGTGGCACAACTTCTTCCCATGTCCACCCTCACGTGCAAAATTTTTCTTAACAGTTGCCTTGTCACTGCTTGCAGCTGTCATCTTCACCCTTTCCCTGAGCACCTCCCAGAAAAGTCTGCCTCTGTCTGCTCAACACCCTCCCATATGTAGCAGTGAACAGATGCAGACAGATGTAGAGTTTGTTGACCACCAAGATGTGTTCTTTTGCAAATTTGCTTTCCAGTCATTTGTTACCAGCCTGTACTGGTACCTGCGGTTGTTCCATCCCACATGTTGGACTGTGACTTTGTTTTTGCTGAACGTCGTGAGGTTTCTGTCCACTCCTTTTTTTTTTTTTATCTTGTCAGGATCCCTCTGAACTGCAGCCTTGCCCACCACCATACTGACTGCTCCCCCCAAACTGGGAGCATTTGTATTCTGGGCTGATATCTTTTCTTTCCGATTGGAACCAGCTGCAAGCCCAAGTTTCAGCTTAGTTACTGAGCTCAGAATGAGTGATGCATCTCCTCTGAAACCACTGGGCCCTGCTGCAGGCTGGAAAAGTTAGAAGTTTAATGACTTTTCATTACTCTTTGCTGTATTGAAAAGTCATTAAACTTCTAACTTCTGTTACTGACAGGGAAAAGTACTCAGTGTCAATTTAGAAAAATACAGCAATGAAAAATAGACAATATGCTTAAATTATCAAAAGCGACTGGGGCAATGATAACTTTTCCTTAGTTTTTCTACGTGCCAGTACAGATGCTTGAAAGGAGACTTTATATTAAAAAAATTGACAAAATGAAAGTTTTCCTGTATTTAGACCAGCATAGTTGTTTTACTGACAAAAGTAATTGCTTGAAAAGTTCTTCACAAACTCCAGCAGCTGTTCATTGTATCCCTTTTGCCTCAGGATTAGCCTGGAGCTAATGAACCTTCAGATTGTGTTATACTCGTACTTTTTGGGGAACAAAAAAACGGAGTAGAATTATTTGATCTATCTCAATTTCTGCATTATATTTCTGTCCCATACTCTGATTTTCCTTTGATCTCTTGTTCTTGTGTGAACTGTGAAATCAGTGCCTACAAGGAACAGTCCTAGAGAACTACACTGCTACCTCCACATGTTGCTTTTTGGATCAATTAGTGTTCTGGTAGAAGCATCCTTTGGCTGCTGAGTCTTTGGGTATCTGAGAGGGTGTGAGTGGCCCAGAGCAAGGTCAGCTAGGGGAAGCAGCAGTCAGTGTAACAGCTTTTCACGTGTTTTAGATCCAGTTCCTCAGTTCATATCAATCATTTTGGCTCCTTTGGTTTACACACCAATTTTATAATAGCATGCAGTACATTTGAGTGGTCATTGTAGTTCAGCGTCCTAGTTCCTCCTTTATCAGTAGTTGCACAGTCTTTCAAAGCTTTTCAGAGAAAAAAATCTTCATATGAAATTCAAAGAACTTCTCTCAATCACACCTGATGTGTTAAATATGGTCCTCCTGGCAACCTGGGACAGCTGAACTGTTCTATGTCTGGAGCCCCTGTATTTACACATCATTCTCTGATGGGAGTGTTCAGTTTTTAGGTGAAGAACAGTGCGTGAACTGGTCATTTTAATCTCTCAATGTAGATCTTGAGCAACCTTGTGATGGAGGAGCTCCTTCCCAATCTTCAGACAATGATCCTGCCTAAAATGAAAGGAAAGAGGAATGACAGGAAGCGGGCCTGGTTTGGTGTAAGTACGGGTATTTCCAGAATGGTCAATTCTCATACTAATTGTCTGTATGTGCCAATTCTGATCTTCACTTACTTGTTTGAATTCAGTTTGTAGAAGAAGCTTATAGCTTAGTCCAGCAGCAGGTTGCAGAAGGATTGAGTACCTTGAAAGAAGAGTGCAGAGATTTTGCAAAAACTCTTGAAGGCACCATTCGCTCTGACATGGATCAGATTCTGAACTCCAAGAACTTCTTAGCTGGAAAAATCAAAGGTTAGTAGTGGAACAAACATGCTGGGGAGCAATTCTTTAGTGACAATTTCATCGGCTGCTGAAGCACACTTAAACCAGAGGGCTTCTTAACATGATTTTAAAGTAATGTGAAAAAGATGTGTAATTTGCTATGAGTATAAAAAGGAGTGCAAAAAGTAGGCAGGCATCAGTTGATGTTGCTTGAGTTAGTAAATAAATAGATGATAATTTTGGAGCTGCTTTAATAAAACTGGAGATGTTATGTTGGTGTTCACACATAACAGCCTAGGATGCCAAGGTCAGTTAAATCCTTACAGAGGCGTCATGGCCATGCTTTGTGCAAACCTCTGAGCACTAATCAGTACTTGGAGCTTCCCTTTCCTTGGCTTTCAGTGCCCCCAACCTGCTACTTTGATTAGGTGGGGCATAAGAAAAGACATTTCATTGCCACTCAGAAAATTCTTAACTCTCATCACCATTGTCACCACCAAAGAGAGGTAACTCCATGGAAACATACAGAGGCATTTAATCCATCGTGAAGCAGATCGGTTCAGATTATTCTTTTCGCTGTGTATCTTAGTGGCTTAAGTTATGTCCATTGTGTGTATTGTCTTACACTCCAGCCACCGTTTCTGAGCCTGCCCAGAAATGCTGCACAGAAAATATTCAACCCTTCCTCACATCCATTTTGGAGGAGCTCATGGGTCCTGTGAGTTCTGGGTTCACTGAAGTTCGCTCACTTTTTGATAAAGAAGTTAATGAGATCATCCAGAACTTCCAGAAGACAAATGATACCACAAAGCTAAAGGAGGTAAGACAAAAATGCAGCTGGAGCCCTTCACATGAGCACAAGGATTTTCTATCTAGAACTTGACTAACAGCAGAAGTTGCTTCTCCAGATGGGAGTACGTTGCTGCTTGGTTTTGTGGTATAGAAAATCTTACATTCTCTATTAAAAATTGGGTTTGCGTTGCTTTTTTAAAAACACTGTTCTTCCTCCACTGGAATACAGGATGTGGATCAGCTTATGAACCTACCATTCAATTCTGTGAAGATGGAGCCCAGCTATCTGAAAGTGAATCTCCTCCAGGAGCTCCTTCATGACCTCAAGAGTTGCTTCAAGGTGTATCACGTTGACTTTGTGGTTCAGAGGACACAGAACTTCATGCAAGAGGTACTGTAAAAACCAGTTCTTCCTCCTGAGAGAACTGGTTAGATTTGTCCTTGTAAGCTGCTTCAAAGTAATCTTCATAAAGAGCTGTGCAAGAGGCTCAGAATATATACATCAGTCAAAGTGCAGATAACTAAACCTAAGAAAATCACAGCTGGAAGCTCATTTTCATGCTTATTTAGTAGGATTGCGTGAGTGTGAGTCTTAAGGTAAGACACAACAAGTTTGGATGGATCATCTCTTCCCATGAACCTTCACATTCTGAATTCTCAGTGTCTCTGCACCCCGAAAAGTTGTGTTTATGCTGATGGGGATGGCTGATTTCTATTCCCCAGGATTGATTTTTCAGGAAGGGTCCTAAATATTTTTTACCAAAATAGAATGTCTCCTCTTTCACAGTTTATTTTCTCACCAATATGAAATAAGGTAATTAATGTCAAAACTTGCCAATTGCTTTGCTATTTCATGGGCATGGCTTTAAGGGACTGTGTCATTTGATATGAAAAAGGAATGCCTCCTCTTTTTCCTCTCAGATGTGCATTGGTATGGGCTTTACTTTTATTTCTTCTGGATGATTGGCTGGAGACCTATTATGACCTATCCAGCAGGCTTCTTTCCATTGCTAGAGAGCAGGGCAGGTTTGGCTTCGTTGAATTTGTTGAATCCTGTGATTTTAATCCATTGTTGAGAAACTAAGTAATATAGTTGGTCATCTTGTGAAATGGAGCTGGTCTCGTTATGTGAGGTGGGAATTGTGGACAAGGAAAACAAGTTTTTAACGCAGTGCTGGGATAAGGTTTTCCCAAAAACAATTCTTCTAAGTACAGCAATGGTCAGCTGCCAAATAATTAATTAGAATTAAAATTCTGATTTTGCATCTGAGCCTCTTAGGAGAATTATTCCAAAATGCTGCTCAAACAAAATGTCTTTGAGTAAGTGAAGACCATAAATAAAGACAAAGAACTACGCAGAAAGTACATCCCATACAAATCCAGTTATGATTCGGGTTAGTTGGTTTGTTTTTTTGTTTTTTTTTTTTTTTTTTTCCTGGAGGGAACATGAGTGAAAATTCACGATAAATAAGTTAAATGAAAGCAGAAGTTATTCTGATAATGCTCTTACTGCTTCTCTCTCTCTAAGAGGCTATTATTTTTCTCATAAAAATGGTAACTAGTTTCACTTTGTGTCCATGGGTGTTTATTTTATTAACAAGTAAGGTCAGATGTTTCTCATGGAGCTTTAATATAAAACAAGCATTTGGATTAACTCTAGCTTGGGAGACATTGGAGGATTCTTCTTTAGGGCACAGCTACAGGTTTGGGAGTTTGGCATCCTCTAGTGGTCAAATCTAGGGAATTTAGGAGTGTAGCACTAAGTGTAAATAAACCAGCTCTAGTGACTTTGTCAGTTCATGATTTGCTTCACATAAAAATGCAATAAATGAGTCATTCCTCTAGGAATCAGCTTCCAACTTTACACTGTTTGTGTCTTGTTATTTTATGGGAAGGCTTGAGCCATTACTGTGCTGCCTCTTGATGCACACACAGATGAAGCAAACTTGCATCTTCTCCATTTCTTCACTGTGTAGAAATACAGCCTGTGTGGTCCAATTCCACATCATCTGCAGTCAGTTAAAAAAATCCCCTTTCAGCATTTGTTACCACTTATCTGCCTGCTTGAAAACGTTAATGGTCGAGGAGGAAATAAGTGTCTTATCCCTAAGCATGTGCACGCTCATTGGTAAGCTACAAAACGTCTTCTGTATCTGATGTAATTCAGTTGCTATGTTCATGTGCAATGTGAAGCAAGACGCAACAGTGCTGATGGCTTCCCTGGGGGTGTCCCTATCCTCCCCAATAAAACTGAATGGAAACACTAAGCAGAAGCAAAGGGTCTTTAAGTATAATTACCATTTGCAGAATTGTTTTTCTGAAATGTCTTCTTGTAGTACAGTACATGAATCTGTGGATAACTGTGCCAACTACTAGCCCAACAGAACTTATAAGACATTATTGCTCTAACTGAGATATTTGTTCCTCTATAAGAAAAGCTGCTAATTAATAACTTTTTAAAAAAGAATTATCTACATTATTAACTATTAACTTTTTAAAAAAGAATTATCTACATTATTAACTATTAAGGCCAATAGGATCTGATAGCAGTCAGTGGGAATCTTCTTATTAGGATAATAAATTTTGTCTGCAGCTTTTACAGCCACTGGATTCTACTTCTTCTCTTTGCTGCCATCAGTTTGGGTGGTGACTTGAGATTAATTCTATGCAAGAAAGCTATTATATCAGATTAAAGATGCCAAGGTTTAATTTCCTTTATTTAGTGCAACATTTCTGTGCATGTTAGCCTTTAGACTACTGAAACAGAGTACCAACAGCAACACGTTTTTGGACAAAATAACTGAATCTTTTTTTTAAGTTTGCTGAAATAACAGTTGAGCAGGCTTGCTGATGTTGACCCAGCTTTTAACTTCAAATAGAAGTTGAGGTTGTTTCATTTTCTTATATTCTTGCGGTAATGTAAGAAATTCTTCTTTTTGCTTTCCAGTTCCAAAACAGGCTGTTGCAATCTAGACTAGACAAGACTCTTCTTTGACTTCTACAATCATTTGAAGAGCTCGACAATATTTATGGATTCTAAGCACTTAATTTTTTTCTCTGCTTCGCCCTCTCAGACGTACAATTGAAGTTAATGGTTACATTCAGCAGGCTTCTTCATGTGTGTGTAAATTGTACGTTACTGGCCTTTAACAGATCTTTTTTATTATCGTCATTCCCAGCTGATGGAAAACGCAGTTTATACTTTTGAGCAACTGTTCTCTCCAAGTCGCCAGGCAGACTCAGTGAAAGTCGCAACAACCCTTGAAAAAGTCAAGCAGAGAGTGCTGAAGGTAAGTGTTACAGCTTTTGTGCTGTAAGACCTGGGGCTGTGCCTTTAAATGAATTTGTCTTTGTATCTTAAGGAAGATACCTTTTCCTGTCTGGTGGGATATACTGACTTGGTGGCTTTTAGCAAAGCCGCTCATTCTGGGGGTAAAACTTAGTTCTGGGCACACAGTTGTAAGGCTATCTACGTAGCTGGTGCTTTTAATTACAATTAAATCAGCTGCAGATCTGAGTAAATCGTTTTATATTAGATTCCATATTAGCCTGCTCCTAGAATTCATTATCCTTAGTGATGAAATACCTGCAGAGTGCAAGCACAGGGCCGTTTCTGGCCCAGGAAGAAAAAATGAAGGGAAAAAATTCCAGAATTTCCCTGATCTTAAAGAATTTTTCCACAAGCTGCAGTAACCTGTGTGGGAAACAAAACCCCTGAATGTGCCCATTGGTATCCTTTGGGGTTTGCCAGTCAGCAGTTACAAGAGCCAGTTCCTCCTGTGAGTAATGAATAACATCCAACACGATTGGGCTTGTTTCTCTTTTTGTCTGTTTCTAACAGCAATATGATTATGATAGCAGCACTGTCCGGAAGAAGATATTTCAAGAAGCACTGGTGCAGATTACTTTGCCCACAATGCAGAAGACATTGGCTTCAACATGCAAACCAGTAGGTTACATTTCTGCTCATTTCTGTTATTTAAAAAAAGCCAAAAAAACAAAACAAGAAAGTAGTAGGAGGCTGGGAAAGATTACCATGGCTGTAAGTCCTAAACTGTGTAAAGCCGTTTCCTTTCAAGGAGTTGCCTGTTTGGATAAATGGCATTTAGATGGTTAAAGTGGCATTTACCAGGTTATGACTATAGCAGCAGGGTAGGAGATGTGGAGTGATTTCAGAAACTGCATTTACAGCTTGCTTTCTGAAACACAGGTGCAGACCTCTGCCTATCCCCATTTCATTTATTCCCTAAAAAGCCCTCAATCTAGATTCCTCTCACTATCTGACAGCTGCAGGGTTAGGTTATGAGCTTGTCCCTGTATTCAGCACTGAGAGGCATTGCTGTGACCATATACAGCCTCTGCTCAGCACCTGCTTCAAAACCAAATGCCTGTTTGGGTGACAGAAGCACTCCGCAGACAGGCTTGTGGACTGATGTTCAGTGATTCTAAACTGAAGTAATTGTGTCAGCAGTCAGGAAACAAATGTACAGAGGCTGTCTCTGTTGCCCCTAATGCTGCTGGTAGGTTAGTTAGCACCCTGCAAACAGCTGCCTTGGTTCCGTGGAGGTGGTATTAGTGTTCCCGCATGAGGGGACAGCTAGAATACCGTTCACCTTAAATTAAATAGCCTTTACCCTTCTTGCAGATCATGCATTTCTTCTTGTGTGCTCACTGTAGCAGATGGAAGATGACTGCCCTAAGCCATCTCTGCCTCCCTGCCCTTTTGTTTTGCTGATGTTCATCAGTTCCCTGAGCCTGCAAGCTCTCACCCATACTTTGTTGTTCTTTCCTACTTCTCTAGCTTGTTTCAGTTCAAGAAAAAACGAGTTAAACCAAGTTATGCTTGTGAATCTTTGAGTACAGATCATTAAAAGTTAGGTCTTTCAAAAATATATTCACGCTCTTCTGTGTATTGTTCTACCTTCTTTCCTATCCCCAAAACAATAGTATTAACTCTCTGCAGCATCAGCAGGATATGTCTATGCACAGGAGCAAGCAAGGAAGCAAAAGCATTTTATTCCCTTGAATACAGAGAGTGGAATCCCATCTAGTGTCCTTGCCATATGGGACGGAGGAGGCAGTGGGGGTGCAAACTTCCCACCAGCCTTTTGAGTTCATGCCTCTGCAGGAGCAAGCAGCCAGCTCCAAAAGCAGGTGTAGGACAGCTGACAGGTCCAGCCAACTCTTGCTCTTGTGATAGGAAACAACCAGATGTTAGGCTGTGGGTACCTCTAGTGGGCAGGGCTCACTTCATTTTCTTTTTATAGACAACCAAGCTGGTTCCTAGGGACCATGACTCAATTATTGCCTAGATATTGCCTATTACATCTAAACCACTGAGCTCAGTATGGTGCACACCCGCTAAAAAAAAAAAAACAAAACAAAACAAAACAAAAAAAAAACAAACCCTGTATCTCCCTTGCTCCTTGTGGATTTGTTTCCTTAGGCAAACAGTGAGGCATTTCCTCACTGGGTCTTTCTTTCAGAACTGTTTATTCCAGTAAAGATGGCAATGATGACAGTGATCTGTCATTCTCAGTGATCTGATGACAATGACAATGATCTGCAGTGTTTGAGAAGTGTACAGTTAATTGTGAAAATACATCATTTGCTCATAGTTGAAAAGAAGCATTGCAGGACATGCTAAATGCAGGTGCCCTTTTGGAGTAAGGCACTCGGAATCTCTCAAGTAGTTGCATTTTTGTGCTTCTGTTCCTTTCTTGTGTGTCTGCACAGGAGCTGCAGAAATACGAGCAGTTCATTTTTGCGGATTATGCCAGCGTGATCCAAGTAGAGAATGTGTATGAAGAGATTTTATATCAGATGCTGCTTGAAGAAACCCTGAAAGGTAAGAATACCATTGAATGACAGTGATAACCTTCTGGCCAGAGGCTGGTGGTTAGCTGTTGCTTCAGGGGAGCCCAGAGCGCTAACCTGACAGCCTAACCTTGGCTTTCAGGGCCAAGTCGCAGCTTTCCAAAGACTGGGGATTGCAGTGCTACAGTGCTTGAATTCAGGTCACTGAATGCGTGGCAAGCCCTAAAATCTGAATCCATATAGCAATATTACTAAGCTTGGGAAACTCAAAATTACAGCATGGCATAAACATATTTATAACAAAGTGTGATTATGCCAGCCTGACTTTGTCTTGATTCCCTGGGCCAAAGAGTGAAATCATGCTTTTATTTGGAAGGACCTGGTGACATCTAATGGCAGTGGAAATGAATTTCCCCAAATGAAATGTACTGCCAGATGCTGTTTCCAGCACATGACTGTCACCAGTGCAGCATTCCCTGCAGACCTCTTTGCTTGTGTGTATGAAAATAAAGCCATGCTATGGCATGTAAAACATATACGAAATATTTCTATCTGGTCTGCCTATCTACATGCTAGATAAAAGACAAGCTTCTGTATTGACCTGCCACTTTGTGGCACTGCTATTTCAAAATATCAGTCTAATGTTTAATGTAATGTACACTTTATTTCATGTATTCAGTGTAACTATTTCTGCATTTCAACATTACCTTTTTGCACCACAGATCTTGTAGTAGTTTTGCATTATAGCAATGCCAAACTTAGGTCAATATTGAAGTTTCATTATTCAAAACAGAAAAGTTATTTCTCTCCTCCCCTAAAAAATACATGCAAATTGAAAATAAATTGAAGACGAAAACTACTGTTGTCTGTAATATCAAAATGTATGACATTTGAAACTCAGGGAAATGATGTACCTTCTTCAGTGTGCCTCTGTCAGTCTTTCCAACCAGTTTCATATTTCTGTTCTACTTAGTGATAAAAGAAGCCGCCGTTCTAAAGAAGCACAACCTCTTTGAAGATAACTTGAACCTGCCCTGTGAAAGCGTGTCCAGTTTAACTGATCTGAAGACCCCTTCTGGGTCAGCACAAACCACTCCTGCTAAGAAGCCTTCTACCACCAGAATGGAAGCATCAGATACTGAAACCCAAAGTGAGGAGACACTCATCGTGACTGAAAAGATTTTGTGGGAGAAGGATCATGAGGATAGAAAGCCATCAGACAAAGAGGCGGTCCTTTCTGTTAATATGGATGGTAGTCAGGCAAGCAAAAGTGAAGAAGTGGTCATTACAGACATCAGTGAAAAACAGGAGTCCCTTTCCACTACCCCTACGAAGCAAGAATTTGTAGAGGGAAATACTCCCTTGGAGAATGAAAGCATGGTGAAAGCAGACTCTGTGGGGGACCCTGAGAAAAAGCCTAAGACACAGGAAGAAGCTGTGGAGGAAGAAGTAGCTTATGGAACTGAAAGTACATTGAGAGATGTAAGTCCTGAAAAAGAACTTCAGGTACATGAAGAAGCAGTGGAGGAGAAGGTGACTTCTGAAAAAGAAAGCAAAGTGAATGAAGAAGGTGTTCAGATAGAGCTGACTTCCCCACCTAATAAAACAGCAGAAACAGAGATTTTAGGAAGTGCTGAAATGAAAATTGAGGTAGAAAAAGGGGTTACAGAGGAATTGTCACAGAGTGAAAATGAAGCGGGAACTGGATTTGAAAAGGATAGTAAAGAAAAAAGCAAGGAGCAAGAGATTAGTGTTGCTTCCCAGGATGAACACACAAGGAAAGGAGCATCTGGGGATAATCTTGAGAAAGAAAGTGAGACAGAAGTAAAGAACTGTGAACCTCTTGATGGTGTGAACGAAATAAGGAACTTGCTGATGGTAACGGTTGAGTTACCGGCTGATACTCCACCTGAGCAGGTAGAAGAGATTTGTGAAGCTGAGATTGTAAAGTTGCAAGAGTACGAAGGGAACAATGAGACAAGCAAAACGGCTGCGGCAGAAGTTCAAGTGAGCCAGATGATGGTGAATAAAGATGCAGCAGAATGCACAGAGTTCAAGGAGGACCAGCTGTCTTCATCTAGCTGTGGGACAGATGGTACCAGCATAGGGAATGTGTCCAAGGTGGGCCGCAGTTTGGCACAGGCAGAATGGCTGGTGGAAATCTCAGATACACCTCAAGAGGGAAAGTCAGAAGTTGAGATCAAGCAAAGCGTGTGGTACACAGATGCAGGGCGCAGTGACAGTGATAGATTGCATCCAGAAGAACACGCTGAAAATGCATCTGAAGACAAAAGATTAAGTGGGGAGGAAGGAGGAGCAGGGAACAGTCATGCTGGCCTGGTGGAGGTAGGGACTGAGAGCTTTTCTCATAAGCTTGCTGAAAATCCAGATGCAACACAAATGCCCATTCTGAATAGAGAAGAGCCAAGAACAGGACTGGTAGATGTGCCATTTGTGTCAGTGGCAGAGCCAGACCAGGCAAGTGCTGTACAGGTCACTGCAGGTGCTGAGCCTGGTGGGAGCGAAGGGAAGCCAGAAGATGAATTGTCTTCGCACGTGGAAATAAAAAGTTCAGAAGTAAATAATGTTTTCACACAAGAAAACAGAGAAGAGAGTTCTGTACAGCAAAGCCCTGAAGAGTAAGAGGCATTTTTCAGCCCAGCCCTCCAGGATTTATTTGCTCCAGTAATCCCTCTTTAATCGTGAATACATACTTGAATTTGAGCTAGAGGAAATGGGCTGCACTGTGGTATTACCAGCTCCTACAGTTTTGTTACAGATCCCTTCCTGAGTGATGGGTGATAGGTTTCTTTTCAGTTAAAACCCTCCCTCAGATCACTGTTGGCAAATCTAATCTTTCACTTCGAATTTGCTGCCTTTTATGATTATAGAAAAGTTTGAAAATGTTGCCACTGAATGCTTCGAAAGCAACTCATCCCTGACTAGGAAGTTATTATAACAACGTAATACGTGTTTCAGCAGAGGAGTAGCTCATGGTTTTTAAATGCATGGATTTGACAGTACTGTTACAGTTCTTAGGCAGTTGGTACATAGGTTACTATTCTGTATTTGCATGCAGTATATGGGAAATAAATAAAACTTTTAGTAGTCAAGCAGTACCAGATAGTTAATTTAGTAGGCTGCTCAAAAGCTACAGCCAGTGCAGAGGCTGCCAACTGATTACTTAATTACATTGAAGTTTTGACAGGTAGTGAAGACAAGCAAGTGTTCTATCTTTTTTTTTCCTATTGCTATATTTAAAATGGGGGAAATATGGGAGCAGGTTTCTCAGTCCCACTCTGCACTTCTGAGTTATTTAGCCTTCCAGAGCACTTTATGGCTATTTTATTTTATTTTATTTCATGGAAAGGAAAGATGAGGATGTTTGCAGTAACTATAACCATTAGGCGGCATCTCTTTGTTTTACTTCCCACCGTAAAATTTACTCACTGATATCTAATACAGAATATTAGGAGTCCTGCCATTTACACTGTTACTGACTTAACTTAAGAGTTACCCAGTTCTGTATGCCTTTTTAGGTGCATACACAACATCTTCAATTGCAATGTTTGTGAAATATCATGATCATTGTGTATAATTTCTAATACAGACATTAACTGAAGCAAAAATCAGCTGAGGGTTTTTTTTTACTTTGCTTAAATTGTGGAGGGCAGAATCACGTTTTGAAAGCAGTGATTAAAATGGGAACTGTTGCTTTTGTAGCCAGCGTATTGTCATCCACATCAAATTGGGACCTGTGCACAAAGCTGCTTATAAGCATTATTTGCACACAGCATTTAAAGAGCGTGCACAAAAAAAAAAGCTTGGAAATGAAAAACAGCAGTTTAACAAAACAGGCTTTAGTGATCAAGACCGCACTTCAGAGGTCAGGTTAGGGCACCTTAAAAATTTAGCTTGAGGTTTCTGACTCTGAATGAGTACAAGACAGGGCAGGACAGCAAGATCAATAAGTAAACACAGTAAGTAAAATTTTTACCCATGAAGACATGGGAATAAATAGCAACTGCCAAAGCACATTGTACTTGCTGGCACTTAACAAGCTGTAAAAAGTCTATCATGTAATGCTATCAAAATCTGCTATAATACTAACAGAGAATGGACACTAGAGGAACAGGCAGACATTACTGCCTATGTGTTGAGTAGACTAACCGAGTGGAGTGTCACCAGTGTAAAATAAGCACGACTCCTGCTCCTTGCAGGAGCTGTACTGCAGTGTACAGACATCAGTATCACAGATCCTTTCCTTGCAAAAGTCCTTTGCAGCATTGTTTCCTCTGTATACTTGGTGCAAAATTACTCACTTGCAGACCGCTACCAGCTCTTTTTTTTTTTTTTTTTTTAACAAATCATTCGTTATCCCACTGTCAGCTTTTTTTGGTTTTTATTTTGTAACAGCTCTGTAGTTACTTGTCTTTGGTACTAAACATTAAGTGAAGTTCAACGTGGTGAGGGGCTCTTGTGTTGTTTGTGTTTTCTTATATGTTCTGGTGATCACAAAGGGACGAGGCCTCAGGATAAAGGAGCACATTGTGAGGGGGCAGAACACAACCCACACGGTTGCATCAGGCCACTGACCAGAGAAACAAACATCACTTAGTAATTTTTACAGCTTTTTGCTCTCATGTGGGAGAAGCCTTTCAAAGGGCTGTGCTGAGCCTGCTGTGGGCACAGTGGGTGCTTGTGGGGATCCTGGCCACACCAGGCAGGCTCCAGAACGTGATGCGTGGTGCTTGTAACTCTAACAGATGCTGATTAAAACAATAAAGCACACTATTCCCTTCCGCTACGAGGAGGGCGTTGTTTTCGTGTGGGATCCATTGGTATGGAGTGCTGCTTTTTTAAACAAAAGGACTGCAGGCGATAACCCGCCCTGCAGGCTGCGCTTCGTGCCCGTAATCCTTCCTGAGGGGGATAGATGGATAGATGGATGGATGGAGGGAGGGAGGGAGGGATAGGCAGAAAAGCGAAAGGGGGCGGAAGAGAGCAGAACGCACGGCCGCCTCATAGCGAACTCTTATCTCCCGGCATGCACCGCGGGAACCATTCCTCTGTGGAGGGGCGGCCGGGCGCACCCGATGCACGCCGGGAATTGAAGTCCTGGCGACCGCGCACGCTCCCCGCCGCGCCCATGCCCGCCCCTCCTTTTGTCCACGTCGCCCCTCGGCGCTCGGTGTGCCTCCGAGGTCACGTGCTCCGCTGCGCCCTCCCGTCCGGCGGCTCTGATTGGCTGAGCGGCGCGGCGCGTGCGGGGGGACCCGGAAGCGGCGGCTCGAGGCGGTTTCCCTGGCTACGCCAAAGGAAAGCGCTGGGCCGGGCCGGGCCCTTCCGCCTGCGCGTCTGCGCCGGGAGCCGCGGCCGCCGCGCCACGAGGGGCGGGCAGCTGGCGGAATGGGCCGCGGCCGGAGCCGGAGCCGGGCCTAGCGGCGGGCGGGCGGGCGGCCATGAGCGGAGCCGCGGGCTGCCGGGGCGGCGGCGGAGAGCGGGGGCCTCGCTGGAGGAGACCGTGGAAGCTCCTGGCCCTCGGCCTCCTCTCCGCCTCCTCCGTGCTGGCGGCCGCGCCGGGCGCCGGGGCCATGAGCAAGGAAGAGAAACGGCGGCTGGGGTGAGCGCGGCGGGGCCGGGAGCGGGTGGCGGCGGCGGCGTCCCCCGAGCGCGTTGCGGGCCGGGCCTCCCGCCGGCACGGCTCTCGTGTCCCGGGGCGCTGCCTCGTGTGGAGCCGCGGCCCCGAGCCCGGGGTGCGCTGCTGGGCGAGGCGGTCAAAGGTGACCGTGAGCCTGAGTGTGGCCGCAGCTGCGGGGTGTGTGAGCGGCCGGTGCCGTGGAGGTGAAGAGGCAAGTGTACGTGCGGGCCTGCCCGGGGTCGGAATTTAAGGTGAACGACGGCGAGCCTTTACGGTTCGTAGCGTGTGGTGAGCTGGAAGGGATCCTCGAGCCCTACCCTTGCCCCGCAGCACCGGCAAACCCTATGGCTGAGAGCAGTGCTGTGCCCACCATCATGAGCCTATGTTGAGGGTAATCACAAGACATAACGTGCCCCATCCAAAACCAAAAAGCACTTGCAGCTAGAAGTGCACCTTCACATTTACACGCTTAAGACAGCGAGGTCACGTGCGAAGCTTTTAGTTAAGGTGCTGTGATTTGGGGAGGACCGTCTCTTCTCCTGAGCTTTGATGAGTTAGAATCGTAGCTCCTATTTGTTTGCCTGTAAGAAGCTGGCTTGTTTTTCCTGTGGGTGTTAGTTGAAGGATAAAGACTGCCATACAACTGGCACTGCGGGGAGTAGCATCGCTCTGGCAGACCTTAGATGAACTGCACGTTACGACTGCATGACCAGGGCACCCTGGTCTGGTATTAAATGTGGAGGTTGGTGGCCCTGCATGTGGCAATGGCGTTGGAGATTCATCATCCTTGGGGTCCCTTCCAAACCGGGCCATTCTGTGGTTCTGTGATTTCCATGTGTTGCTAGGACAGCTTCACCCCTCGCATCAGCTGCAGAGCAGTGATGCTATTTGTGCTAGAGAAGCATTGTGCTGCCTTTCAGTTATTAATCATTAGGTATAAGCTGCTATGCAACTGTGGTCATGTTTGCAGTTGGTGAGGTTTTGCAGTGCAGGTTCTCAGGGTGCTCATAGTGAATTATGGTGCATGTTTTTCCCATGTGACTGCATAATGAGTTTAAACTTTACTGTTTGGTTTAAAACTTCAGCATTCACAGCTTGAATCTGCATCTGGTGTGTGCGAATGACATCCCACTGCTCTTTGTGTCTTATGAGAGTTGCAAATCTTAGCAGGCACTCTGTGTGTCTGCTCAATGACACAATCGTGACAGTGATGCTTTCAGCAAACATCCCATGAACTTAAATTGCACATAGAGACAGAAGCTGTGAATAGCTTTTTGGGCACTGACTCACAGAGCAGCATTGTGTGCTGAGCCCTGGGCTCAGGCTACAACAGAAGTCCCAGCAAGATGTGGCCCCTGAAGCGCTGGAAACTGGAGTCCCATCCATGCTTCCAGTGGCTTAATGCACTGGGGGAGTGGAGATTATGGCTCAGCTTCAGCTTGTTCAATTAAATCAGTAATTTAGACCATAATTCCTGTCTCTTTTGTGTTTGGTCTTATCAGCGGAGGTTGTGAATGATGTAGGTGTTAGCTTAGGAATCAGCATGCCCTTTTGCCTTGCAGGGCTCCTTTGTCAAACAGGTATGGTTGGAAGCAGTGCTGTCTCTCTGAGAAACAGCTTTGTATAGCAGCATTTCTCACATTGACTGCTTTTCTAACGTGTAAAATGTGTCTACAAGGATGTTCTTTACCATACGCTTGCCAAGGCCCCTAACACAAGGAAGTACCTCGTAACTGATCTGAATCATGGACAGGAATTTCTGCTGTGTCAGTTGGTTTTAGTGTGGTGATTATGAGAAGAGTGTAGCTGTGCTGGCAGTTGCTGAGCCAGGAATGTGTCCCATCTCCAGCTTTCATGTGTGGTGACACCTACAGCTGCTTAAGAGGAAGCACAGGGGGCTGAGAGTCCTCGTGTGAAATACTTCAAGTTTGGTGAAGAAAAGCTTGAACAATCGCCAGATTAGGAGAAACTATTTTGCCTCATTGCTTTTACTTGAATGGAGTGCGCTGCTAAAATAGCTATAGCTGAAACCCAGATGCAGATGCAGAATCTTGCTGTTCTAAGATGGTGTGTTAAAGGACATTGGGCAGACCTCTAATGCTTTTTTTTTTTTTTCCCCCCTTATTTTCTTTTTTAGAAACCAAGTTCTGGAAATGTTTGACCACGCGTATAGCAATTATATGGTAAGGAAAGCACCTGTTTGCTTCTTACTTTTTTATTTCTTATGGCTGACCTGGGAAAGAAAGCCACCTTGAGTACATGATGTTCTACAGACGTATCAGGAGGATATTGGGAAAAGCAAAGCTAAAAAAGCAACTGTATGCCCTTCAGAAAGAGCTGAACAGATCTTACTCGGGAAGAGAGATACCAGAAGAGTTACAGTGGATTTCAGATTGGTAGCTGGGAACTCTGTAGTCATCTGATCCTGGAGCGTTTGGGTGGTGCCTGTTTATTTTGTGGGTACAAACTAAGTCAAATACTTCTTGTGAAGGAAGGTATGTTAGATGCACTTTGGTAGTTCTTGTTTGTACAAGTACACTTTGTAGAACAGAGCAGGAAAAAAGAGGATTTGATGTCTGATCTGTGCATTCTCTCCTCTTCTGAGGATGTGACTGTCATATGACAGCGAGCCACGCTTGCTTTGGTTTCTTCTCATATGGCTTGTGATTTTCTGAGCAGGTGTCTTCATGCTCTCAGTATGCAGAGTCAGTTTGCAATCTAATCAACTTTGAAATAGGTTAGCTTAGGTTAGATGTGTTCAGGAGTGAAGAATTACTTGGTGCCCTGACTTTCTCAAGTGAATTATTTTTAAACATGCTCTGAGGTAATACATTACTGAGGAGAAGCTGTACATGTGGCTAATATAAAATGTGTTCTTACTGAATTTGGCAAAGCAATTCCTGTGTTTGTGGCTGTGGCAGAAACCTCTCTTTTCAGTTGCACCTGTTCCTGCAGGACAGACGTGTCAGTATCGTGCCACGTGTCCCAACTTCTGTATCACGACTTTACTCTATAAAACATGGGGAAGCTTAAAAGTTCGTCAATTAAAAGTGTATATACGTTATGAGTGGCACTGAATTATCGTGTAGAAAGCCAAGCAAGAGTATTTTCATGAGTTGCAGTTCCCTTCGTAATGTGCTTTTGGGCACCTTAGCAGTTCAGTTAGCGTCAGGCTTTTTGGTGATGACTTGTAGCTAGTTACCTGGGTCTGTTCAAGTCTCTTGGCTTGATTTTCTAATCACGTTCTGAAGGAAAAACTGTTAGGTACTTGGTCAAATTGGACAAAAATGTGTATGGCTGCAGTAGGGCTCTGTGCTCCTTCTGTTGGCTGTGATAAGCTGGGAGCTGGTACGTGTCTAGCCACATCTGAAACAAGAAAAGTTCTAATTAAGGAGAGGAATGACTTCAGCCATCCTGGAAACTCTGAAGCTAAAAGGATATTTACCTGCTATGTAGGCTGGAGTGCTGAACAAACAGAAGCATGGCTTATTTGTTCAAAGCTGAAGAAAAGATTAGGATGTCAGACTTGATTCTTACAGCAAGAAAATAGTGTATTTTTGCATCTGCTTCTGAAACAACCACCTGAAAAGCTTTGCTTTTCTGTTTCTATTAATAAGTGTTGTAGAATTGAGTTTGCTGGAAGACTGAAAATTCATGTTTGCATGCCCTCCATGTTGTAGGTGCAGCACCAGGAGCAGTATGTCTTTTTTCTTTATCCAAGTACCATGCTGCACTGAACACACAGTCCTGATTTAGGAAACGTGATCGTCCCTCCTATCAGATTGTGCTGCAGTTCCAGAGTATCCATGGAGCTGTGTTTGTACAGTAATTCCCTGAAGCATGCTTATTGAAACATGTGCCATATTTTCTATTTCGTGTCAGTCTCCTCTCTTTGAGGTTACTTGAAGGGGACAAGTTGAAAGCTGGGGATCACTTGATATGACAGTCTTTTCCTATTCTAGATAGTCTACGTGATTCTGTTCTCCCCAACACTTCTGGTTCCTTATGATGTAGACTAGAAGCCTATTCTCTCCTTTTAATATCACCATTTTTTCTCCATAGCTTAAGCCAGTGATCTTAGTTTTAACTTTACTTTTGCCATGTCCTTCTTCAGTCTGTTTTTTTCTGAACACTTTGCACAGATATTCAGAAACATCTGAGCCGTGTTAACATGATCTAGATTCTGGCTTTTGTAGTTGTGCTTGAGGAGAACAAAGAGTTGTGCAAAGACTCAAATACCCGGGTGGTAGATGGGGAAACAAATGGTCAGTTTCAAAGAAGTTGCTGTAAGAGCTGCTTATTTATAGAAGACTGCTTTTCCTTTGCCTTTCTATTTCACGTTTGAATGTAGATATTTTTTTTTAATATATATTTGGATAGATTTAGAATATGTTTACTTGCAGTTTCAGCTGCAATAGCTTAACTTTTTTAACCTGTGCTGTTAGTTACTCAGGCTGTAGAAAGGTGCAGTGCCAATTTCCTGATGGCATCAAGTGAGCTCTGTCGCCAGTGTAGGACTTCTAATGCAGAGGTAATTCCTTGTGTCTGTGGTTTTTTTAATTAGGTCTGTTTCAGATTCATCTTACTGGATGTCGTTGGCCCCTCTTGCAGTTTTTCAGCAAACCTCTCCTGCTGCACAGTGATGAGTTTCATATTTACGTGTACTTCATGAGATGTCCTGTTTTGGTGGCAGCTTAAACCTACAAGACTTACAGCAACACCAAGTATGAACAGGGGTTTATGCAGTGTGCCTGGCTGAGTTGAATGGTGCCCTGCTGTTACTTCTGCCTCAGTGGCAGGAAGTCACGTTACACTGCTGCCTGCTCTGTGGGGTGCTTTTCTGAAAGAATGGGAGTAGCCTTTGCATTTCCTACACATCTGTAGCAGTGTTGTGCTCTTCAACTGGATGAAGTTTTTAATGAACTTGATCTTACGATACTTCTTCTGAACATTACCTTTTGTTCTGCTTTGTGTAGTGACTTAATGTACTGTTTCACCTTCCAAGTGAGTTCTCTTATCAGTCACTGATTGTGACCTTGAGTCATGTATGTTCACTTGGAAAAGTTCCCAAAGTGACTTTGAGGGCCGATTCCCTCTGATTTGTCCATGAAATACCAGTTCCTTGACAAAGCCTGCATTAGTACCAGTTCTTCGGCTCATCTTCAAGATAATTTCTGCCTAAGAAATGTAATAATTTTTGTGTGCACCTTGTTTCTAAGAACACAGCTGTTAATCCAGATTAGTAGTGAGTTGAGAGTCTTGGGGGTATTTTTTGGCTGTGGTGTTGGTTGTTCCAGACTTCTCTGGGAGGCTGGAGAGTGAGGTCCTGTTGCTGTGTTCAGCTCTGCAGTTTATTTAATGAAGTACAACAGAAGTGGACTTGCTTTTAGCAAGCTCTGAAGATTTACTGGAATGGCTGTAATGGTTCGAACTGTCTTCCCTTGTTTCCCTGCAGGATCATGCCTATCCAGCTGATGAACTCATGCCTTTAACTTGTCGTGGACGGGTGCGGGGTCAGGAGCCAAGTCGTGGGGACGTGGATGATGCCCTGGGAAAGTCAGTGTTTGGAACACTTACTGCCACATCTAAACCTCTAGGAATCTACATACAGCTTGCAGCCTGTGGCACTTGGACGTTCAGCTGACGTGCCCAGACAATTATTTGTTGACAAAGATTCTGTGGGGACATGCAGATCAGTAATTTGTTTCAAAAGTTCTCCTACGGAGGGGAAAAAAGCTATTGGAAAAAAAATTCATAGTTGTTTAACTTCTTCCAATTAGGCAGAAATGGCTTTTCCATTTCTCCCATGGTTTTATCTGATGTGGATTTGTACCTTAATCAGGAGAAGAGAATTGACTGCTGATTAAGATGCAAAAATAATTTTTATGTATATATTTATACATGTATTCTGCAAGTGTTTTCTGCAGCAGAGCCAAGTGAGCAGAGCTGGTTGGAAAGGACCTTCAAGATCATAAAGTCAAACCACAACCTAACCAAGTAACTACTGAATAGGGCTTATAGGGGTTAATTTTCAGCTGCACAAAACTGTAAGCTGCTATCATGCTGGCCTTATAAGTGATACTTAAAATGCTTTCTCTAGTAGAAGGCTCTGAGAAAACCTAATTAATCAAATGTTCATCACATGCATGATAGCCTGAGGCCATTGCCTGAGTATAAACCGTTATTTCAGAGCTGAAGTTCTTCATAATTTTTCTCTTTGGATAAACTGGAATATAAAGTACTGATCTTTTAGCCAACAAAATGTAGATTTTAAATTCTCCAAGCTAAATCGAGCAATCAGAGCCACAATTTAATTTCTCTAAGTGTTTCTAATAGATTTTTTTCCCCACGAGTGTTGTCTGTATGCGGACAGTTTATGTTCCTAAAGCAAAAACTTAAAAACAAATAGCAGCAGATGATGGTTTTGTTGGTGTCCTTCACCAGAATGGCATTAATCAAAGCCAGAGTGCTTTAAGGTAACGCACTGTGTGCTATTGTGTCATTTTGGTTATTTTTTATTACACAGAAAACTTATTCTACAGATTCTGATGTAGTCTTGCTGTCTTTAAAACTGCATGGATCAACCTTGGAGGTGTTGAGGGAGATGACTGATGAGAAAGAATTGTTGAAAACTTGGATTTGTAACCAAGCCGTTCTTTTTAATGACCTTTATTTACATAGTAGCTTGCTGTCATTTGAGTGAAAATGCCTTTTAGTCCTGTAGTTGCACTGAATGGCTCAAATGCTTGTATTTCTGCATACGTACCATTTTATGGCCCTAATAATCAGCTATATTTTTAGGCATTGGATTTCTTTTAGTACTTTTTCTTGCCAGCTGGCTCATCAGTTGTGTTCTATACTATTGGTTGCAATCATGGTGTGGTTTTACAAAGGAAAATCACAGGATGAGGCAGTTGCTTCATGTTCTATGAATTCTTTTCCATGAGTGCTATCTGTCTGCCAACTTGAGAATGACCTCATTGTGTTTAGCCAAACATCCACCCAACTTGGTGTGCACTAAACAGGCCCAGAGAAGGATAAGGGATTAGGACAAGCCTTGTTGCAATACTCCTTTTGCAAACAGTGCATCCTACTGGAGTTGGGTACCACGTGTCTCTTAAAAGCCTTGCAAAGTTACAGAACAAAATAATGTTTTCTTTATTCTTTCACTACTGAGTCAAACACTGAGTGTGATCACAGCAAACAGTGGCTTTTCCTGAAATAGATATATGGGACAGTTTCTGATTAGAGCAAATGAGTTTGGAGTGACTATTTGGTCTTTCTACATAAACCTTTTTATTATTTAATAAGTCACCATTCTTTTTAAAAAGGAAAGGTTGAAATGGACTTTGAACAATGTTGGGTCTCTTTTCAATAGATTTTATTGGAGAAAAGAAATAAAAATGCTTACAATAGCTTTGAAAGCTTTGCAGTAAATAAAGGAATCTTTATAATCCTCACTTCCATGTTATTGCTTTTAAAATTGCTATTGAATGACCTAATTTTTAAATGCACAGGTTTATAATGAATCCATTTTACATCTTATTTCACAGGTTCTCCCTGACCTTGATTGATACCTTGGACACTCTTGTGGTAGGTTTGATTTGTTGGTAAACTTGGGTAGAACGAAATACTGTCTTCTGGTGTTCAGACTTAACTTTAGATTTGTTTTGTTTAAAAAAGAAAAGATATGTACACCTTCATCACCTGTCATCTTTAGCTGTTGGAATTGGCCAGTGCTGTGAAACTTCCAAGTGCTGAGGTGGTGGTAGTCAGAATTCATTGCAAGAATACTAGAACGCTTCTGTATTTCACTGATGCTTTATCCCTTCTTGGGCTCTGTCTTAACAAAAAATGTAAGCAAGTTTTTTTTATCAGTTATAGCTTATGGTAACATTCTTACTAAGAGGTGAGTACCTCTACTACCTGCTGAGGTGGTTTTCTTAAATTGCATGTACATGTTTTGTGGATGAATTTGCAGGGACTTAAATGCATATTTAACAAGTGCACCCTGGGCACGTGTGCCAGGAAGCATTGCCACAGCCTCTTCCTAAAAGATGCCAATTGTCAATATAGTACTTTCCATTAGACTTCAGTCACGTATCTTGTAGTCTTAAAGTAGATTTTGGAAATTAGGGATCACTTTTGGCCATTCACATCTCCCAGCAAACAAATTTAAAGCTCTGAAAATCCTGACTGCACTGACTTGGTGTGTGAGTCATGTAATGCTCATCTTCCGACAGCTCTTCTCTCCTCATGATTTGCTGTGAGATGACCTTTGGCTGTCCCTGAATCACAAATGTTGAAAATGCAGAGTCTGTTACTCTCGGATTATTGGATTTTATTCTTTTCTTGTTTTAGGGCAGGATTAATACTTGTTGGATTTAAAGGCACTTACGGTAATGAATTGGATAAGTCACAAAAGTTCTTAAAGATGGATTTAAAAAGTCAGTGTGAAAGCAAACCTGTAGGAAATGCTGGAGCTGTTCTTCGGGCAAAAGGAGAACACTGCTGGGAGGAAAAGGGCTGAGGGGACAATTCACTGAGCTTGGGATGTGGCTTAGATAGGAGGCTTCTGTCAACTGGAGGCAGTGGAACAGCCCAATCTCTGCTTTCACTGTTGGTGCACCCTGGTGCACTGCAGTTATGCTGTGGAATAGGGGAACACACAAACACCTGGGTAATAGTAAAGGTGCATTCTTTATTCTTTGCATAATGCTTTCATTTGCTTTCTTCTATCTCCTTAGAAAAGCAATAGTACTAATGTCTGTTCACACTGTATCAGAACATGACCAGAATACCAATGCAAGGCGTCTGAAATGCTTTCCTCATTAAACTGTTGCTCTTGTTCTTCCACGCTGTATGACTCTGTAAAGCTGTGTTGGAATCTAAACACTTGGTTATGTTTGTATTCCAGGTGTTAAATAAAACCAAAGAGTTTGAAGAGGCTGTAAAAAAAGTAATCAAGGATGTTAATTTAGATAACGACATAGTTGTGTCTGTCTTTGAAACCAACATAAGAGTCCTTGGGTGAGTAACTTTCACATTTTCAGAGTTCTTTACAACTCTTATTTTTAGTTAAATGTCCTTAAGGCGTTCCTCTATGCTATGTCACCTCGTTTAGAATAGTTGTTCCTTTGTCAGTTAGCATAATTCAACACTTGCCCTAAGGAAGGTTTTAAAATGCTAGGCAGGAGTCAATGCAGTGGTACTGAATCAAGCTGACCCGGTCTGACTGCTGCAGGCACAGCTTCTTTGATTAAAAAGAACCTATGTGTGCTGAAGGAGCAGTGTTCTGTTGTAATGAAACAGTCGTAAAGATTGCACTGCTCAATACTTAGTTTAATAGAGCACTTCAATATTTAGGATAGGAAGCTATTTCCTATTGGAAGGGACCTGTGGAGGTCTGCGCTCCAACTTCCTGATCAAAGCAGGTTTGCTCTAAGCTGTGTGCAGTGAGAGGTGCTAGCTGTCCTGAACAACTCTGGATGAATTGGTGATTCATCTGCAGTTTGGGAGAGTCCTAAACAGTAAGAATTGCTCTTAAAATACTGACAGCTCTTCTTGATGGCAGTTGCATCTGCTTAGCCTTCCTGAAAATCGTGATCATAGCCCAGTTATTTACGTAGTCATCCGCATCACAGAAGCTGCTGCACTGCTGTTTAGATGGATGTACCTATTGAGCTGTGGATGTTTTCTCTTGGTTTTAGTGGTCTCCTTGGTGGGCATTCAGTGGCAATTATGCTGAAAGACAAAGGTGAATACATGCAGTGGTACAACGGCGAACTTCTGCACATGGCAAAGGAGCTGGGCTACAAGCTTTTACCTGCCTTTAACACCACTAGTGGTCTCCCTTACCCAAGAGTAAGTTCTGTGCATTCTGCAGTTCAGAAATACTTCTGTAAGCAAAATCTTTGTTGTTTGGTTTTAATCTCTGTTTCTGCAATCTCTTGCATGTGTATTAAAGATACAGGGGGGATACAAGGATACAAGGATACATAGATGCTTTGAACCCCCAGGTTTCCAGCTCTGGCAGTTTTAATATACGCTGGTGTGTGTAAATAACGAACACAGAAATATTGTCTCATTGCTGTCTGCTGGTTTCTTGCTCCTGTAGCCACCAGTAAAATAGCTGAGAGTAATTTTTTTTTTTTTTTTTTTTTGCACATATCTCTCAGCCAGTGAAAAATTAACCTGTGAGCATGTGAACATAGAATGGTTCAACTTCATACTCAGCATCTGATCTTTAAGAGGGCAGATGTAACTGGGAAGCTGTAAATAAAAACATTCACTTAACAAAATATCTGTCATATTCAAACAAAGCATGGTACGTATTCTTTGAATGACAGATTCAGGTTCAGTGAATCAACGTTTTTCTACTTGGAAAGGTCTGTTGCAAAACATTTGGAGTTTCTCAACATTCTGGTGTGCTGGCCCTCTCTTGAACATGCCTGGTACAAAAGTAGGTCCATCTGCTGATACCCCCTGCAGCCAGGAGTACTGAGATATTTGCAGAGCTTAATTCCAGGAGCACTTCTGATGGTCTGAGTTTGGGTTTTCAGGTGAATAAATTGCTAGGGCTTGACTGTCAGAATGCTATTCTTTAATCAAACGGCCAGTGAACCACACCACAGATCTTTGGGTATTTTTGTCTTTGTTCTGGATGATTTTGTGTGTGTTTGAGGTGGCAGTACATGGTAAAGCAGAGCAAAATTGAAGGTGGGGGTTATAGTCTTCTCTTTTTTGTCTTGGAAAATGTGTGGATCTAGTTGCTCTACAGATGGGAATGTGAATTATCTCTACATGGGTGTAAAGTCTTGTAGCTAGTAAAAATAAAGGTAAGAATCTCTGCTTTTCTTTAGGTTAATTTGAAGTTCGGTGTAAGACATCCAGAAGCACGAACAGGAACAGAGACTGATACCTGCACAGCTTGTGCAGGTACCTTGATCCTGGAGTTTGCAGCTTTAAGTCGATTCACAGGAACATCTATATTTGAGGTTCGCTTGTTTTGATCTCTTGGTTTTGGGGGGATTAGGAATTCATTTGTTTTGTTAAATTTCTGTAATTTGGAATGGGTGCATATCTTAAGGGCTCTGTGGAAAAGGTCTTCATGCATTCATGTTTGGGGCTTTTTTCTAACAGTGTTCATTTGACTTTCTTGAAAGCTTACAGGAAGTGAGTTTGTTTGAAAGTAATTATAATAATACAATATTAAACAACAAACAACTTGAAGACTCTCGCAAGAGGATGTTATTTACCTAGTTTTAAGATAGAGGGGTCAGGGCAAGCAACAGGAAAAGTGACCCTTTTCTTGAGAGCCCGTGAGATATTAGTATCTGAAAATGCAACTCAATAAGAGAAAATTAAGCACTCTTGTGATATTTTTGCCATGTATCCTGCTAGCAATCAGCATTCTGCAGGCATTTGTGCACTGCCCTTCTTTGAACTGTCTCTTGGTACCTGTCTGGATAATATGCTCACTTGTTTTAAATGTTTGCCATTTTGTTGAGATTTACTGTTTGGTAGTTAGTAAACACCTCTTGCTGAGGTTAAATTATAGTCTCTTGAGAGATTCGGTGAGTCCAGGAATACTAAGCAGTCTCTGCAGATGGTAATGAGGTTTTTAGTATGGTAAGAAAACTCTCTTCTGAAATTTCAGGTTAGGCTTTGTCTTAACAGTATTTTTTCTGTTTTCCGTGTTGCAAAGCAGAAAAGATTAAAATAGCAAAACAATAATACGTACCTTTTAATGAAGAGCATTACCATCAGTATTATGGTTTTGTGCTGTATTAGAGTGTACTTGCAGAAGTGCTTCCATAAGAGCAGCCCCAGTGAAGTTGTACAACACCTAACAGGGGGTTTGATGTCAGCAGAAAGCTAAATGATGTTTTTTAAGGTTATGGGTGGTGGGTTTTTTTTTTATTCTAAAGAAGGCAGGCTCTTTTAAATCCAGATCTGTGATCTTTCAGTATGGGCCTGGTGTAACTACTTACATTGGATGTGGACTGAGCGTGCTGCTACTTAAGCATATGCAGTATTGTACTGAGTTTTACAGTTTACATGAAACATCTTAATAGTTCACAGCATCTTAATTTCAGTAGACAGTAACAGTCTTTATCTATTTTCTTCTGTAATTTCCTTTAACAATGTTCTGCTGTTGCAGGAATACGCACGGAAAGCTCTTGACTTCATTTGGGAAAAGAGGCAGCGCAGCAGCAATTTGGTGGGTGTTACAATTAATATTCACACAGGAGACTGGGTCCGCAAAGGTGAGTGCTATTCTGAGTCCAGGCTTGGTGAGAGCAGGTGGCTTGGGGCAAGGAAAAAATGTTGACAACTTTTTCCCCCATATGAATAACTTTCTATAGACTGTTTTAAAATGTTAATGGGATGGGCACGTGGAGCAAGATACACCTGCTAGACTGAGGCCTGACTTTCCTCTGAAAGCATACTTTGGTTGAGAAACTAGTTTCCTTTGTTTCAGGGGTGTTCTGATTCACTTTAGTGCTGACATAGGAATGCCTTGAGATGTACTTTCAGAGATCCTGCTATAAACAAAATACAGATAGGACTGTGGTTGTACATGGCAGTCAGTAGAAATCTTTTCATAAGAGGAAAGTGCAGCCAGCTTAAATGCATGTCTGTGTTATTATGTGTAGTGGTATTGCAGTCTTTAGTGTAGGCATACAGCATCGTATATCTGCATCCATCCACCCCTTAATTCTAGTTACAGACAGCTTTTCCTTTTACTGAAAGCGTCTTTAAAATCAAAATGAAGTTATGTGAAAGTACTCTTGCAGCTACTTAAAGTCAAACCAAGTTTTCATTTTTTACTGCTTCCAGATAGTGGAGTTGGAGCGGGAATAGATTCATATTATGAATATTTATTAAAAGCCTACGTCCTGTTGGGAGATGACAGTTTCCTGGAAAGATTTAACACGGTAAGTTAACACCTTGCTCTGGGTTGTTCCTCCTGTTCTGGCTAATTTAAGACTGTTGTCAGTCATCTGTATTGTAAGTCATCTGTTAGCCTGTGATCTTTAGCAGAATTTCTGTGACTTCTGCAGTGCCAGCTCTTTTTAATGAGTTTGTGCTAATCTGGGTTGATCTGTCCCTCAGCAGCTACTGTAACCCCAGCTAATGAAGGTAGAGATCTTCTGGACAGTTTTCCAGTGCAGGAGAATCTGTATTTCAAGAATGTCGTGGCTGGTATAATACTGAAAAGATTTCTTTAAAGCAGTGAAAAGGCTGTGTATTACAAATCATGCTACAACTTCTTTCTGTTCTGGAGCAAGAAAATCCAAAAATCAAAACCCAAATCTTTCATTGTGTTGCAGATCTTAAGGACCAGCACACATTTAAGTGTATTTACTTAGATTCCCAAGTTTGTAAGGTTATTCAGTAACTCCATCAGCATCATTCTTTCATAAGAATATTCCTTCTTTTGAAAATAGCAATATTCAATAAAAACACTTTTTTATCTTAAAATCATAGAACCATTCAGGTTGGAAAAGACCTCTAAGACCATTTATTCCAGCTGTCTATCTGCCATCAATATTGCTCTCTACGCCGTGGCCTTCAGTACCACATCTACCCTTTCCTTAAACACTTCCAGGGATGGTGACCTCACCACCTTCCTGAGCAGCCTATGCCAGTGCCTCACTGCTCTTTCTGAGAACAAGTTATTCCTTATATCCAGCTCTAATTGTGATAGCTACTTGTTTATGACTGGCTGCTAAGTATCCCTTTCTGCATATGTTACTTGGAAACTGTGACTTAAATTGCATGTGTAATACTGTGGAGCATTGCAATACCTGCTACCTGTTCCGCCTGTGAAACTTGAAGCTAATAGGCATTGCCAAATAATGCCCAGTAATGATTGGGAGTGTTGTACTTGCCTTCCATTGACACAATGCCATAGGCTTGTTTATATAAATCTGTTTTTTAAAGTGTGTTGATAATATAAGCTTGTTGTTTTCCTGTTATTTGTCAGCACTATGATGCCATAATGAAGTACATTAGCCAACCACCTCTCCTTCTTGATGTTCATATTCATAAGCCAATGCTAAATGCTAGGACCTGGATGGACTCTTTGCTGGCTTTCTTCCCAGGACTGCAGGTAATGTTTAAAAACCCATGTACGGATTGATTTTAATAAGAAAGGAACAGTTAAATAGGCTGGATATGCAATGAACAAGTCAAGCTTTGTCATTTGGTTTTCAAAAACACTGAATTGAAATTCCTGTGCTCAGTTTCTATGCTATGGTGCAAATTGATGTGCATCAGGAAAAGCACGTCCATATGATTCTCATCCTTCACTCCTGAAGACACTTGAATTAAATTGCCTTTTTAGTAGTCTAGAGACAAACTTCCTAGTTTGTTTGCTAGCTACACCTTTAAGACAAACTGAATCACATTTCCACAGCAATTGTCTGAAAGTGGTAAAGATCCTTTTTCTGTGCAGGCAGTCTTCATGAGCTCAGTGATGTGCTTAAAAACTTCTTAAGGATTATCAATGCCTTAGAATGAAAGAGGGTAAAGCTTACAGTGTGTATCTGCTGCAAATGTAGAAATTGGTGTGCAGTGTGAGTGTGCCTAACTTCAAATATTGCTTGTATGTGTGGTAAGCTCATGTACATATTGTTACTGAATTTTAGGTATTGAAGGGTGATATTAGACCTGCTATTGAAACTCACGAGATGCTGTACCAAGTTATAAAGAAGCATAACTTTCTTCCTGAGGTAAGGTGATTGGGATTTGATCCCAATTAATTAATTCTTCATTTGAACAGTGTCAGCTACCCATTTGGAACAGCAGTAGGTTTCGTGTCTTTAAAATCAGAGGCTCGCTTCCACAACATTCTTATGCAATTTACAGTTCTAATGACAGCTGCTTTGAAGATGAAATATTGTCATTTAGCTAGGCTGTAATTAACATGGTAGTAATGATTAATAATTGCTGAGACTTTGCGTTTCAGCCTTTCAAAATTGACTTTGTCTCATTTCAATTTGCATAGTTTATATAAACACGTGTGGTTGTAGCTGCTTGGTAACATAATGGCATTAATGCTAAAGATGTTTTTTTCAGTGCTCTGTACTTACAAAGGAGATTTTGGAAGATCTCTTACTGGTGTTTAAGCCAATATGCCATACCCTGTAGCAAAGGCATTGTTTAAACCCTAGTATGAAGTAGTAATTAATTTAATCTGTCACAGAAACGACAGTGGATATTAAGAGTGAATGCACAGAATGGGGAACTTTCAGATAACTGCCTTCTGGTCTCTGGCATTTCTTATGTTAGAAACAATTGCTTACAGTCTGTCAGTCTGAAATGACACTTTAATGTAGTGGAAGTGTCAGGTGGTAGGTGTATCTGCAGATATGGTATTTGTCAGCTCTGCTTGGTCTCTGGAACAGCCGTGCATCAGGCTGCTCTGCCTGGATTGCAGGAGTGTGCTTTTGCAGCTGCAGGAGATTGGAGGCTGCATGCTCCTTCCTGGGACTTGAGCACAATCTCAGCTGGCTCCTGTTGCCTCCTGACAGCCCTACAGGGCTGCACTCTCAAGAGGCTGGATGGTGTCAGGATTCCAGTGCTGGCACAGCTTAATCTGATTTGTGCTAAATGTGCTACAGCGTTGTGTCAGGTTTTGACCTGAAGTGTTCTAAATGAATGGAGGTTCCTGTGGTGTCCAGAAGTTGATATTGGGCCTTTGGTCCTCCACTGATGTGCTGTAGTTGTTGTAGTACTGTTAATGTGGATTTCAGAAGAAACTGATGTGTGGTTTTATTCTTGAATTTATTTCTGACCATTTATTTCTGGGGGTTTTTGGGGGGTTTTCCTCAGGCTTTCACAACAGACTTCAGAGTTCACTGGGCCCAGCATCCTTTAAGGCCTGAATTTGCTGAGAGCACTTACTTCCTGTATAAGGTAAAGTCACTTTCATTCTTCTGACTTTTGGTTGCACCGAGGGTTTTGTTGGTGCTTTGTTTCAGTTACAGAACAAGCAGCCTGTCTCCAGGCTATTCTGCAAGACTTCCAGATGGAAGCATTATTGGTATCAAAAATTGTTCTAGAAATGTTCTTTTATATGCCTAGAATTAAAAAAGACACTGCATCAAAAGACCATACTTTTAAAGTTATTTAGTGTTTCTTGAGCTCTCTGGGGGATCATCTAGAGACTTGAGTGCAAAAGCTACTTGGTAATTTACAGAGCTGCAACTAAGGTCTTGGACTTCTGGAAGCATTTTCATATGCTTGTGTGCATATCTGCAAAAAATGACAACATATTTGAGGTCCCCTTTTCTGACTTTTGAGTACTGTTGAGAAATTAGGCCTTACCGGTATGCAGTAAGCTATGGAAATAATATTACTGCTAGTAAAATAAAAACTGCTAATTGTGTGATAAGTCTGAGCACACCTGTTTATTTGTTTTCTGTTGTTTTCATAGGCTACGGGGGATCCTTACTATCTAGAAGTAGGAAAAACACTCATTGAAAACCTAAACAAGTATGCAAGAGTGCCTTGTGGGTTTGCTGCAATGAAGGACGTTCGTACGGGAAGCCATGAAGACAGGTGAAAACATCTGTTTATTTGAAAATCTAGTTATCTTTCTGATGAAATGGAATTAATTAATTTCTGAAAACAGGCAAATCACTCATTGTGGTCCCTTCCAACCCAAGCCATAGCACAAAATCTCAGGGGTGGAAGGTATGTCAAGAGATCAAGTCCAATCCCACAGCAGCTAAAGGAGTTCCCTACAGTAGGTCAGACAGGTAGGCATCCAGATGGGTCTCAGATACCTCCATAGGAGACTCCACAACCTCTCTAGGCAGTGTGTTCCAGTGCTCCATCACCCTGACTGTAAAGAAGTTCTTGCTCATGTTAGTTCAAAACTGTCTTTGTTCAATTAGTCCATTGCTCCTCGTTCTATCAATAAACACCACTGAGAAGAAGAGCCTGACCTCATCTTTTTGCCTCCTATGCCCCTTTAGGTATTTACCAGCACTGATCAGATTCCCTCTCAGTCTTTTCCCCAGGCTGAACAGACCCAGGTTGCTCGGCCTTTCTTGATACAGGAGATGCCCCAGGCCCTTCATCACCTTTATGGCTGGACTCTTGCTGGACTCCTTCTAGGAGATCCATGTCTGTTTTGAGCTGGGGAGCTCTGAACAGTTCTGTGATTGATAACTAAGTCTGAAATTATCAATTTTTTATCAAAATCTGTAAACTATTTCAGTAGTTTTGTAGGTTCAGATATGTGAGAATATAGTTTAATAGCATTTCATTTCAAGCACACTTTCATTAGGCTTGGGTAATAGATTGCTTCATTTCAAATAAAACATACTTCAAAAATAGAAGTTTGTAAAAGAGACTTATTTGTTTTTACTGTAATGCCACCTTCTACTGAGCATTAATTGATTCAGCACATTGAACAGTTTCCTTTGAAGTGAAAGGAATTCAGATGGATTAAAGTTCCATAACAATAGTCACGAAGACTTCAGGGATGGAGCAAAATGAGTATTTTTTTTAACTGACAGATTAGAGCAATGCATATCTTCTAAAAGGGCCTTTGTTTTTTTTTTTCTCTAGAATGGACTCTTTCTTTCTGGCTGAGATGTTTAAATATCTTTACCTGCTGTTTGCTGATAAGGAAGACATGATATTTGATATAGAAGATTATATATTCACTACAGAAGCTCATCTATTACCACTCTGGCTTTCCACCACAAACCAAACCATCTCTAAAAAGAATACAGTAAGTAACAACTCAGATTTTCATCAGTTCTAGTGGCACTTTGGAGCAGTTCCCTTTTTTTTGAGAGAGAGAGAGAGGAAATGAAATAGAAATAGTAATTTGTACTACACTGTGACACTCTGTTCAATGTGAACTGTTTCATTGTATGAGCAGTGACAGGCACATGTGCATGAAATATATTCCCATAATCAGATTCTGCAGCATGGAGTCTTGAGAAGAAAGTTGTGGAATATTAGCAGTATTTCAAAGGAATTGGTCCCTCTCTGGCTGTGTAAATTCTAAAATAATGCAATATAATCTTTTTTCTTTGTATCTATTTTCTTTTAATTTTCTGAAATTTTAGCAATGTTGCTAAGTTTTTATTACACAGGCTGCACATTTTCAAAGTTCTTTTTTCTGAATCTGCTGCAAATTTAGTTTGACAAGATGCAGTTGCAGCTTCTGAGATGTTAAATTATTCCTATCCATCTGATATACCTCTATTATCTACCTTTAAGAATGTAAATGGATTTATAAATCAACTCTGCCTTCCAAAATGCCCTCTGGCATTCAGATTGTGCCATGAGGAGTCATAGAAAGTCTTCTCTCTGATTCTTGTGTCCAGTAAGGTGGCATAGTTAATCTTACAGGGTTAAAATACGACTGGTAAGCCAAAGCAATGAGAGAGGAAATGAGTAGGAGGGTGTGTAGGATTTTGGGGGTGTGAATTCCTTTATTTTAGCGAATACTGTTTTATGGTATTTGAAGTGAAAACTTTTTGAATGACTTGCTTATAGCATCCAGTGTTGGTAATACATTTCATGAGTCATGGAGTCGATTTATTGTTTTTTAATGCTGCAGATCCTACTCTCTTTGATACCCTCTTTGAAGTGTTATGTATGTGAACATTTATCATCTCTTATCTTTGAGTTTGGAAAGGGGGGGGGGGTGAAGGAATTTTAGTTGGATTTAAAAGGGACCCTGTGTGTTACTGAACTCTTTCAGCACCTGTAATGTAACTTCATTTTTTCCCTTTTTTTTATTTTTTGTTGACTGTGTGATCAGCATTTTTCAAACTATGCACGGAATTCTTTGAAGGGTCTGAAAGACAATTTTACACAGCTTTCATCCCCAGCATGAGAAGGTGATTATTTCTGAGATGCTCAGCATTCCCACAGAGCGTGCTCTGTGAAGTGCTGGCTTAACTTCTGAAGGGTTTGAGAACAGGAAATGTTCAGTAAAAGGACAAAGAAGAGAATAGAGTGACTTATCCTAATGCAGTTTACTTAAGTTTTAAGTCTAAACTACAAATATGACATAAAAGTAAGATAATGCAGAAAACGGCCTTGACAACTTGCATGAAACACACTCTTGTGGAAGAGGATCGGGCCTGGGAATACCTCAGCAAATGTGTTCCTGTGTCCCTGGGCTCCAATGGGGTGCACAAGTGCTGAGGGAGCTGGCATAACGATCCTGCAGAATGGCTGAGAGGCTGTGGAGGTGTTTTGCTTTATTATGGAATTTATCTCATGGGGTAAAAAGGAAAAAATGAATGTGTAAATTTATTTTTAATGTAAACATAGTGCTACTAATTTGAAGTGCCTGTGAGATAATTGGTGGTAGCAACCCCAATATCCTGTTTGTGGGGTTTTCTTCCTCATAAACAGGAAAGATCGTATCCTAGTGTGCTGGAACTTGCAGAGTGTTACAGGCCTTCTTTCTTTAGAGATGCCTACTGTTGATCACAGTTAGAGGATGGCTACTTTAAAGTATTTATTCCGGTAACCTGAGAGCCTTTTAGTTCTTGTTTTTGAGGAAACCTCTAAATATTTGGTTTTAATTAAATATGTTGTAAATAGGGTTGTTGTTGTTGTTGTTGTTTTTTAAAGTAAGTAAATACTACCTTTAATTTTAAGCAGAAAAGTTAATTTATCCAGTTACCCAATGCAAAACTAAGAGAAGACTAAACATGTCTCTGGATCTTCCACTTCAGATGATTCTCGTGATTTCAAATTATGAAACAGTAACTTATGCAAATGTTAAGTCCTGATCTGATATCAGCTCTGAAAATAGAGATTAATCCTTGCCCCTTCACAGGCCTGCAAGCCTCTATCACTCCTGAGGAGGAGAGCATTTTGTTCACATGAAGGTTTTCAAGAAGACTCGTTTTCTTTCTATATAAACCTGCTTAAGCTTCGTGAAACATGAGTATTATTTTATGAATGAAGTCATTCTCCTGTGGTTTTATTTAGAACATCTTTTTACTCAAGGGAGAGGTGAGACTGCCTTCGTAAAATGAAGCAAGAATTACTGAAGACTGCATCTGGTTCAGACAGAATCAGGCAGCACCAAATGGAGTTGTCATTGCTTTGTCTAGTTGGTCAGCACCGAGAGCAGGGACACAGCTGTCATGAGCAGGCTTTAGGAGTCCTGTTTGCTGCTTGCTCATAAACCGGTTTCTGCCAAAAACAAATTCTAGGAACTGGATGCAGGACTGGCGGATTACAAATTAGAGCTGATGTACTTATCCCCCAAAGGATGTGGGTCACTGGTAACTTTTTCACTGCATGAAGAAGCATGGAAAAATTACGTATTCCTTTTTGTGGTAACTGGGTGGTTGTTGCATTCGGCTGCTGTATCCTGAGTACACAGATGACTCAAGGGTGGGTCTGTTTGTTGATCATCTTCTCATAAAAATGTAACCTGCTTTTTAATTGGTGATCTGCATCTTCTGTTTCAGACTACAGAATACACAGAGCTGGATGACAGCAACTTTGACTGGACCTGTCCGAACACTCAGATCCTCTTCCCAAATGACCCAATGTTTGCTCAGAGCATTCGTGAACCTTTGAAAAATGTGGTGGATAAGAGCTGTCCTAGGAGTATTTCAAGAGGGTAAGATGAATGTGTTCTGTCTTTTGTTAATATAGCAGTTATAGACTAGAGCAGCATCTATTAGGCACGGGAGGAAAAACTTGAAGTGTATTGGAGCTTGCTGTGCTCGAGTTTGCATTCCTTCTGGCTATGGGAAAAACTAATTCTGGTTTTTCTGACTTCTTCAACAATGCTTTGTTCATTTCCATCAGGAATTAGTGAATCTGTCAAAGCAAAAGGAGCTTTGTGAGCCATATGCTCCAAGTGGGAATTGTAGCCCAGGTATTACCAGAGCCGGGAAATGCATCTCTATGATTTGTAAAGGAATTTCTGTAGTCTCTTGACTACTTTTTTCCATAACAAGAAAATAGTGCTGCCATACATCATTGCACATATTGTGAGGAGTTTAGGGCAGTCTGTTAAAGTTGAGAAACCCTATTGTTATGAGCACCTCTTTGATATTTATACTTAATAAGTAGAACTGTGTAACAGGAAAACTGTTTTTAATCAGTTTTACAGTTAGGCAGACTATTTAAGAACGAGAGGCAGCATATGGTAGGTTCTTACTGTCAACATTGCATGTTCTTTTTTGCAGCAGAAAATCATCAAGGATATAAGCAGCTTTGAAAAAAGGCTGAGAAGTTGCTGTCTGTTGAAATTTGTGCTTTACTTTATTCCAGATAACTCTAATGGTGCAGTGGTAGGTGTAACTTGGGCAGGTTTTGTGACAGTTATGGTTCAAGAATGATCTGATTTTTTTAATGCTTTTTTAAAAATATCTTTTTATCAGAGAAGAGAGCTTGGGAAGTGGACCAAAACCACCCCTGAGAGCCAGAGACTTCATGGCCAGTAATCCTGAGCATTTGGAGATACTGAAGAAGATGGGAGTCAGTTTGATTCATCTTAAAGATGGAAGAGTGCAATTAGTGCAACATGCAGTGCAAGTAAGACCCAACAGTACCTCTTCTGAAAACTAATGGTAAAATCATGCTGGCTGTGTTGTTTAAGACTTAGAGGCTCAAGAGAGACAGACTGACTGAAAAGAGGGCACGTGAGGTGGATGTGCAGCTGTATTTAGCAAGTTTATGGCTGTTAAAGTCTTGCCTCAACAGCACTTAATCTTCTATTAAATTAGGTGGAGGCACTTCATGTCAAATTAACATAGCTAATTACAATTGACCTAAAGCATGAGGTTTTCAGAGTGAGAAATTTCTTTTTGTTTGAGACCTGCCTGCTAATACATTTTTAGTCTACATCATGGTGAAGATGCTGAGAAGTCCAATTGGGGAATGAGTGCCAGGAGCCTGCACTCTGTACCTTAAAGTCTGCGTAGCACTGAATGTTTGCCAGTAGCATTGTTTTGTTAGGAAAACAATGTAAAAACAGCATTTTTTCTGAACCACTGAAATACCAAAGAATGTCATGTAAATGGTACTCCAAGCAAAGCTAATTTCAGGTTTTTTTTTCCCCCCCAAGCTCGTCGAACACTTATGGAGAAACTTTATTTGTATTTTTTTTTAACAACTTAGGCAGCAAGTTCACTTGATGCTGAAGATGGCTTACGGTTCATGCAGGAAATGATTGAACTCTCCAGTCAGCAGCAGAAAGAGCAGCAGTTACCTCCTCGTGCTGTTCAGATAGTTTCCCACCCATTTTTCGGTAGGGTGGTCTTGACTGCTGGACCAGCACAATTTGGAATGGATTTATCTAAACACAAATCAGGGGTATGTAAGAATGTATGTGATTGTAGCTTTCTGTTACTTATTGCTTAAGCTGAAATGATTTGGTATTGAAGTTGTGAGTATTTCAGGGTGGCCAACTGGAAGGGAATGAAAGAAGTTAAAATGACAGGATAGTGCAATGACAGAACAGGGTCTTTTTAAATGAGTGGCTTATTGGTCCACTCCAAGTCATCAGCCATGATTTAGGATTTAGTACACATAACATAGTTTGACTTTGAAACACATTCATATAATCTGCATTGTGTTTCTCAAGAGGTATTCAGTTTTAAGGGCTGATTTTCCTACCATGTCAGCCATGGGTTTGCAGAAGCCCTTTAAGAGTTGAAGTAAGTTGCTGTTACACGAGCTTCCATAAAAGGCTGTAGGTGGAAAGAAGAAGAAATTGTCAGAGAGGCAACAGTTCCTATTGGAAGCAGTGGGAAAATCCTGTGAGTTGCACTGGGTGTGGTGCTGCCCAACAGGTGAGTCTCAGACTATTGGTTCACAGCATACAGTTTTTGGAGACAGCAATTCACAGGTACAGACAAAACATGCTGAGATTTAAGAGTTAGGTTTTCACGTGGCCGTTCTTTGTTTCTCAGCTCCAGGGGAAGATTGCCTGTGCTGACTGAGGACACTTAATGCATTAGATTAACTGGAGGAAATAAAATGCTTAGGAGTCTTTTGCAAGCTTGAACCTACTTCTCTAATTCTCTTGTTTTGTTTTTGGTTTTGTTTTTCCACACAGACAAGAGGATTTGTTGCAACCATTAAGCCGTATAATGGATGCTCAGAGATCACTAATCCTGAGGCAGTGAAAGAGAAAATTGCCCTGATGCAAAGAGGCCAGTGTATGTTTGCTGAAAAGGCACGAAACATTCAGAAAGCTGGAGCAATAGGAGGCATCGTTATTGGTAAATAGAGCTTTAATTTATATGTGTAAATGTAACCTGTGTTGTACACACTTGAAGATATTGGGAAGCTGACAAGACTGTTAAACTCACTGAGACGGTGGTACTTCAGCACAGAAACTCTGTTTTCAGGGGATAAAGAAATGTTTTGTTTATGTCTGGTTGTGCATGAACAAATCATGGTGGGTGATTGCCACTGGTTTTGCAGCTCAAAAGTTGTTATTCTAAGGATCATTGGATCTTAAAACAGTGAAGACTGGGGAAAACTTGAAGTACAAAATAAATGGAAAAAATGGTAGGGGGACAGAGTACAAAAATTGGCTTTTTGCAACCAGTTTCCCATTTTCTGCGTGGTGTCCTCCCAGCTGGCTGTGCAGTGTGAACCTACTCGAAGTCTGTAGCCTGTCTAACTTACAGAGGGGTGTGCTTGCTTTGTCTTTGTGTGTGTCTGGCTAGATGACAACGAGGGAAGCAGCAGTGACACAGCTCCTCTCTTCCAAATGGCCGGTGATGGAAAGAATACAGATGATATCACAATCCCCATGCTCTTCCTCTTCAACAAGGAAGGAAATATTATACTGGATGCAATCAGGGAGTATGAGGCTGTGGAGGTGCTCCTTTCTGACAAAGCAAAAGATAGAGGTAAGATTAAAGGCTTCCTTTGATGCAGATTTAGGTTCTGTCTGTGCCGCAGCACAATGTGAGATGTACAGTAGATATTTCTGTTGCTACCCAGAGGTGTAAATGTGTTCTTTGGTAATGTCAGTTTTCTGTCTGACCTTACTGTTAGTTTTATCATATGAAAGCCATTATCAGAAACGTGTTGTCGTGCCTCCCTTCCTGGCCTTGCCCCCTGAGTTAACGTTCACATCCAGAAATGCTGTTCATAAGTTAAGTGTCAGTTTGAATAATGAGACAATGCAGTCCTCCAGATTCCTTTTGAACCCTTTTTGTCATGATCTGCTTTGAAGTAGTATCAGAAATAGTGCAAGTGTTTCCAGTGCCCTACATTGTAAGTGCCTCTCGCTTATCAAGCTCCCCAGTGACATTCTTGGTACCCAGAAAGAAAAAGACAGCTATTACAATTATTTTTCCTGTCTAGTCACTTTTCAGAGGTTATCATGAGAAATAAGGCTGCTGACCTCAGATGTTTTGCGATTTGTCTGCAAGTAGTACTAGAAAATTACAAGCTAATACATTTCAAATTGAAATGTTTGCATATGGCAGAAATTTCTAGGCTTTCCATCTGAAAGCCTTCCTGGTAGCACTGCTTTATTGATGCAGGTAAGCTAGAAGCAGCATTAACTTTCTGCACATTGGTAGAGGAGATGCTTTGAAAGCTACAGTATTGTTTTTTGATAGCTGCTGCAAATTCCTCTTGTTCGTAACTATGGTCAAGCTAATATAACAAAATACTAAATGCAAAAGATAGTTCTGCATTTGAGAGTTTGTAATACATATGTGCTTCTTCCCCCTTCCTTGTGCTTTCATTTGGAATCCCAGCAACAATCTTTAAAGGTAAAACGATTCCAAACTACATTATTGATAGCAGTAAGTATCCTGTATTAAAATATGCAGTTAAACTCCCTTGGGGGCTTGCAATATTAGCATCCTGGATACTAGTTGCAAGCATTGAGCTCCACAGAAATTTGTGTGCTTGAATTCAGGCAGCTGCTGTAAAGTTGCAAACTAAATCAACGCTGGAGACATCAGCGTCAGTTGCTGTGGATGGGGATGTGAGGAGGGAGGCTTTGGCTCTTGCAAGGCAGTTTAGCAAGCCTAAGTGCATCTCCCACTGCCACGGATGTGTGATCCTGGTGGGCTTAGGAGTGCCTGGAGGCCTGGCATTACTGGAGTATTTGCTAAGTCTGAAGGGTGACAGCTAGTGCTTGTCTGGGAATTGTGATTCAAGTTTGAGGCTCTAAAACCAGCCTCACTAGATTGCTTGTCCTCTGTAGTGATTAAATGTTTTCCGTCCCCTCCCTCTGTAATGTATGTTCCTTAATAGTTTTCCTATCAACAGAGAGTTTGCGCTTCCTTGAGGAATAAGGTCAAAGGAAGTAACTTGGCTTTTGAATTACACAGTAGAACGCTGCCTTCCTATATTTTTCAAAGTATGTTTTCTTTCTCTCCCTTTCAAAGACTTGGAAATGGAGAATATGGACCAGAAATCATCTGAAAATGATTCACAAAAACAAAATTCAGAAGAAGCTTCTTCAGCATCTCAGGATGTTGGTGCAGTTGGTGAGGAGCCTGAAGAAGGAGAAAGCTCTGACGTTTCTGACCCTGATTCCTTATCTCCTGCTCAGGCAGACAGTGACAGCATTTCCACTTCAGATCAGGATTCCTCCATCCCTGGACCTGGTGAGGCTGATGCTTCAGAGCCAGCATGCACGCAAGGGGATGAGCAGCCTCAGGAACAGCAGAGTGAGACAGAGCCAGACTCCAAAGTTAACTGGGACAATAGAGTACAACCTATGGAATCCATATTAGCAGACTGGAATGAAGATATAGAAGCATTTGAAATGATGGAGAAGGATGAACTATGACTTGTAGTAATAACTTATTTGCTAGTAAACGAATGGAGAACTCTTTGGGTAGAAGTGAGGCCTGATAACTGAGAACTAGAAAACATATTCAGTATTGTGATGAGCAACCAGGTTTCACCTGGAAATTATCATAGAAATCCAGCACGCGCTCTTTGTTTTAATTTTTCCTGTTTAAAAATGGGAATGTGCAATTGAAGCACTCGTGTGGCCCCACTGCGCAGTGCTGTGTCCCAGGAGGTTTGCTCAGGGAGAGAGCCTGACTTCTGCCTGCCAGGTGCCCAGAGGTGATGCTGCCTCGGCCTCTGGGAGGCACAAGTTGAGCACGTGGGGCTGCCAGCACCATTCAGCAGCCACCAGCGGGAGCAGCTGGAGGCAGCAAGACAGCTGCTGCCCTGCTGGGAACGGAGCTGTGCCTGGTTTCCCTGGCCCCCCCCCGGCCCCCCCCCCCCCGCTCTGAAGGCCTTCCTCGCTAGCAGCAGGTGAAGCGATGTCTCCAGTTGCTGCATCTGTAAGACACAGGTAGAAGCAGTTTGGTTCTGTTCTGACGCATTGCACCCAGACACAGTGGTGTTGCTCGTTGCTCCTTCCATCTGCTGCGTGAAGAATGACTGAGATGGCCCGTGAGCTTTCTCTCCTGCTAAATTCAGCTGGTGAAGCTGCACAAACCAAAGGCAGTGTGTTTTGTAAGCAGGTGCTGTCAGGGAACGAGGATAGCCTGCTTCCTTTGGGGCTGCCACATTAAGGTTGGCGGTGTGCTATGAAAGTTACATGTGAGGTGAAGGTAAAGAGATTGGGGCAAACGGTGAGCCCTGCAGGTTGGAAAACCCAACCTACCCGAGGCACAGTTTCACCTGGCGGTATTCCCTGAATGCACACCAAGCAGAATTAGATTTGCTGTAACAAAAATCTTCCTTTTTTTCCCCAAGTTTTACTTCTAACAGCAGCTTCTGTAGCATGATGCTTCGGGCAGTGAGGCTGGTGCAGCAGTGCAGTGCAGCAATGGGGGCTGTCGAGCCCACAGCCCGGGCTGCAGCAATGGGAGCAGCGAGGATGGCTGCTGTGCTGCTCTGGGCTTTGGGAGCGTGTCCCAGCTGAGCGATGGTTGTTATCCCCCTTACTGCAATGGAAGCAGGGTTATTGAGACAGCCGAGATGTCCCTCGTCCAAAGAAACTGCCAAAAGGTCATTCAGTTGATTTATATAAACTGCTTTTAGAGAGTCGTGGCTCAAGGAATTGTTTTATATTAGAAAATAAATGAACACTGCCTGTACGCTGCGCCAGACTAGAAATGAAGGTTTCTATTGGTCCTTAAGATATTTTAAAGGAAAAAAAGTCCCAGTCTGAAGTGCACCTTTCTTTTAGCTGGTGAATATGCAACTGTTATTAGTACAGCCATACTGTATTTATTTGTGTATACTCCTGTACAGTATGAATGGAAATCCCGGGCAAACGCTGTATACATGTGTATGTGACGACACTGCTTTCAGGAGCTGCGAGTGCCCAGGCACCTTTTGGGAGCATGGCAGTCAGAACCGTGTGCGTAAATTGAATGATAATGTTAAACCATTGGAGGAGGAGGTGATTTGGAGGAGGAAAGAAAGAGGTAGCAGAAGAGTGAATAAGCGTCCTTCTAAAATAAATCAGCTTTCCGGTGTAGTTATTCCTTTGCACAAATAGCTGTGTGGAGGTTTGAGCTGAGTGCTTGCAGCAGCCGAGGTTTTTCAGCTGGGGGATTTTGTATTGATGTGGGTATTTTTTTTTGTTGTTGTGACGTGGGTTTCCTCATGGAAGGGGTCAGACCATAGGAGCCATAAGTGCCCTTTGTTAGTGGAGCTGTGAGCCCAGCAGCAGGCTGGGTGTCATCCCATGGGTCTCTGCCTGCCTGTACCATGGCAGAGTGCTGCTGTTCTCAGTGCTCTCTAGCATGGACTGCACCTTCATGCTGGGTAGTTCTTTTGGGGGAAGCAGGGTTATATTTTCTAGGTATAGAGGTCCTCTGATCATGGTGTTAATTAAGTCTGTCGATGTTGCAATGCAAGCTTACGGTGGTGTGTCTTTGTTAACCTGCAGAAAGTTTAGGTGTAATAGCAAAATTTTCCTAAAAGCTGAGCTTCCCTTGGCACCACAGGCTCGCCTCTGGCTGCTCATCCGCACCCATGGCCAAAGCAGCAAACAGCCCTTTCCCTGGATGTGGTGCAGGGTGTGGGTGTCCTGGCGGTGGCCGTCTGCAGGTGCCCATCACCTCCCTCCTCCAGGACTGTGTTTTTGTTCTGCTCTGCTTGGAGGTGACCACGAGAGCTGCAGGGGAGAGGTGTACAGACCTGGTCAGTGGAAGCGACCTCTTGAGAAAGAAAGAAGGGTGAGGGGGGCGGTTCAATTCGGGTTGTTTTCATTTGGTGTTTCCTTGAGAGGAGGTGGCATTAGTTGACCTTCTCGTATCATGTTGAAAGTAGTTCGGTTTTCTGTCACTCTCATCTTAAAAAGCAAAAAGAATGCATTAATTATTTTTGTAAATCATCTTCCGGAGAGGAGAGTAAGTGTTCTTTCTGGGTTGTCTGCTCCACGTGGAGCACTGCTCGTCCATTGTTCATCAGCAGCTGCCCTTCGTTTTGGGTATTGCACATTGGTTTGTATAGCGTTGAACACTGAATTCAGGAATCCTGGCTGGAGCCACGCTTACTCCGTGCCATGTAATTCAGATCAGCCAATTTGATATTAGAGGAATTTTTAATTGTTTACACGTGTTGTTTCTCAAAGAATTTAAAGCCAGAGCCCAGCTTTTTCTCCTCCTCTTGAAGGCATTGCTCATGGAAAAGCATTTGGTGAGAAGTTAGAAACGGGCCGTGGTGTGCAGAGCCGTCACTCAGAACATAGAGAAACATTCTGTGAATGAAATATTGTATGTTCAGATTTTATAGGATTTTTTTTCTTTTTAGCCAGCCCGATTTACAGCCGTATATTTTCTTATGGAAGATGTCTACTAACAGGTGCTGTAACACTTCTGTTGGGTTTTGCTGTCTGGTGGTAAGCATATACAATATTTCTAAGGGCAACGATGTACTGTGATGTAAAAGGTTGGGCTAAAATGTATATAATCTGTGTACATAATTGTGTACTTGATTATAACTGCTGATTGTAAAGATTTAATAAAATGTAAATATTCTGGTCAAGCTGTTCTGGACTGTTGGCTTCACCTCGTGAGTGCCAAACACAGCGCCAGGTACGTGGAGCTGTTATTCCTTGTAACTCCTCGTGCTCCAGTTTAAGAAAATGGGCAATCGGGGCTTATGCTTTTGCTAAGGGATAAAAGGAGGGAGAGCTGTAGGAAATGGGAAAGAGGCACTTCTGACAGGCGATGGCTTCCGTGGCTGTTTATGTAACGCAGCACGTGGCTCCCGTGTTTATTTCGGGCCCTGACACGGGTGAGCTGATTGCCAGCCAGCGGCTCTGCTAAATGATGTCAATCTGCACCGTGCTGGCATTACAGCATCATAAAAAATTACAGAGCTGCTATTTTGGGCAGCAGCTCTCTCCGACTCAGTGCATAAATGCATCTCCATATGACTCACTCGGGGGATTATTAATAGACACGAAATCAGAATGCCAAAACCCAAGAATATCACGTTGCTCCCACACCTCTTTCTAGTTTCTTGCAGCAATCACCCTTGAGAACTTTTTCCCTCAAATTGCTTTTTTAATGGATGTATGCATGAGAAAGATGGGACTGGGGCAGCTCTGTGGCAGTGCCCAGCAGCAGTGGGAGCCCAGAGTAGGGAACCTCTGATAGGAAACACTCCCAAAAGCATCTTTCCAATGCCATGCCAGTAGGAACCCCACTGAGCTGCACCCAGCAAAGCACTCGCTTACCCTGTGGGGCTGTAGGGCACTGGGCCTCTGTGAATCCCTAGGGCCAGCAGCTATTTAGAATCATAGAATGGCCTGGATTGGAAAGGACAACAATGATCATCCGGTTTCAATCCCCTGCTATGTGCAGGGTCAACAACCACCAGACCAGGCTGTCCAGAGCCACATCCAGTCTGGAAACCTGTCCTTGTCACACAGATGGGTGCTGGTGGCCCCAGCATCCCATGCAGGCACTGGTTGGGATCTGCCTGGCCCAGGTGAGAATGTGTACTGCAAAATGGTCCTGAAGTACCCAGTCTCTTTTGTGCCATCTTTTGTGCACCCCTAGGCCTGCAGAAGCTGAGCACCCACATCAGCACAGGGCTAAGCCCTCAAATTGTTGGATCCCTGATGGCTGGGCTAGATGCCATCGGTGGTCTTTCCAACCTTAATGATTCTGACTGCTGGCTTCAGCAGGCCCCCAGCAACACATATGTGCACATCCATATATATCTGATGGGCATGCATGGAGCCAGTGGGCTTCACTCCCACTTGGTGAGCCTTTGCCCTCATTCTGCTTTCACACAAACGGCATTGGTAGTCAGGTAATGAAGCAGCTGCTTTGCTGAGCTTTCTGAAGCACGGCCCTGCGACCTGGCTCCTCAGCTGGGGCTGTTTGTGTGTCAGTCTGCACATCTGCCTGTACATCCAAGCAGGGATGGAGATGTGGGAACAGTCTTAGGTGGAATTGGGCTGGAAAGCAGGGATTTAGGAAAGCTCTCTGTTGCTCTGGGAGAGGTGTGTGCTCAAACGTGGATCTCACCCTCTTCATGCCTGAAATTTGGCACTGTGCTCCACTGCACGCAGTCACCTCGCTGTGGGGTTCACCCTGCTGTGCTCCCAGGAGGAATCGCACGGCAGTGCTGTGCTGGGACACGGCTGGGCATGGAGGCATGGAGGTGAGTGCTGGTGCTGCTGTCCCAGGGCAGGCCTTCCCCTTGCACTGAAGATATCTGCTCACGTGCAATGGGAAGGTGATTGTGAAATTCCTTCATGTTTTGTCCAAGATCCTGCACTGTAACCGGGAGATATCAGTTGGTACATCAGCCTCCTGAAGGGAGACTTGGCCTGGAATCATTTTCTTGCTATCTCTTTCATAAGAAATCTTGAAAAACCCCTTTACCACCAAGTGCAGCACGTCAGATGTGAGCAGTTCTCCTCTGTCCACCCTCTTTTCTAATCTGCTGAATATATTTGAGGTATGGCTCTAAGAAGAGATGCATTTCAAGCTACAGCTTATGTTAATAATCAGCTTATATTATTACAGATCCTTAGTGGCCGCACATATTTAGACAAAATTTGCTATGACTTCTGCTGAAGGCATAAACCAGGTTAAAGAGCACCATTCAGCTGAGCATCCCTGCATGTCTGCCTAGAACAAGAGCAAGTTCCCAGAAGCCCTAAGGACCAGCCAGGCTCCTTATAATACATTGTTAGGGCTGGGCTTTCGTTTCCCATATGCTCATGGGTTCAATAGCAAGTTCCCACCTGAGCAAGGCCCTGTCCCAGCCAGGTCTCAGTGCTGCTGCCACACACAGCTGATGGAAGGGCCATGGCCGAAGGCTTGCTGCCCTGATGCCAACAGCGGACCCCTCCACCACCCCAAGTGCCAGCACTCAGCTCTGCCCATGGGAAAGGGAGCAAAGCAGAGCCTACCGAGGCTCAGCCAGTCCCACCAGCAGCCTGCTGCAGTCCTGGGCACATCACCACCAATGGCTTCCCCACAGACCTTCCCCCAGCAGCTCGGGCTGCCCAGGTGATGCTGCAGTACTGAAAGACCATGGAACATCTGCAACACAACATCCGTATGTGAAATCTGTGAGATGTTCAGTGCTTAGAAAATGAACCGTGTTTATCAAGGACCCAGCTCAACCCCGCCTGCATAACCCACAAAGGCTTTGTGAAGCACTTCTGGTGGGATCAACCCCAGAGCTCTTTATTAATTAAAATGTTTAAATAATTCAAATATGCAATCTCTTGAATCTCCTTTGCATGCTTACCTGCTCAAGAGCTGCTATGAATTATGCAAAAAAAATATACGTGAGGGTACAGTCCTCCCCTATCATCTGAAGACTCAAATGGCTCTGCAGCACTGAGAGACCCCAAGAGCCCTACCCAGCATGACTGCATGGGAGAAAGGAGCAAAAACTCATCTCCAGGAAGAACGGGATGCTCAGAAAGAGCTGTGCTGCCAAAGCTGCTGCCAAAATGGCTGCAAAACAGAGCGAGGATTGAAGAACTGGCCAGCAGTTTTTGGCTATCAACAGGCCGCCAATGTGAAGGGTAAAACCAACTGGGGAGGACCCTTTGCTGAGCTTTTACATGGAAAGCTATTGGTGGAATGCAGTGCTGTGACTGTGAGAGGAAAGCGCTGGTGATGGAATTCCAGTGTGTTTTAGAGATCTCTGGAAATCAGAAGAGAGGGGCTTTCAGCCGACAGCCTTCAGGAGGATCTGTTTTGCAGAAGGCCCTGTGACCCGGGCCAGAGAAATGGTCACTTTCAAAGGGTTTGGGCTGAGCGCCCCACTGTGTCAGAACTCGAGGCTGTTGTGCAGCCTTGTGGCAGATCCCACAGGAGCAGCCCTCCAGCTGGGAACCATGGCATCAATACGAACCCTCACTGAGAAAGCTGCTCTTCGGGACGCACTGCAGAACTGGCGCAGTCAAAGTGGGAAGGGTAAATACTGGTACAAGTAACAATCACCTCTGAAGGAATACATACAAAAGTTGTCTTTTTTCCACTTCTTTAAGGGTTGTTTGTTGTTTTTTTTTAAACTCATGACAGTATTTGTTAAAAACTTCACATCTGCTTTTGAGAAGACAGCATCTCCTCTGTATCATCTGGAAAAATAAACTCTACAGGAGATGCAGCAGATGCACCCCGTTGGCACAGCACTGCTTTCACAGGTGAGATCCACTGCCATAAATGCCCAGGGCTGGTTTTGCCTTCCCAGCCCCCGGGCTCTCGGAACGTGAACATTACACGAATGGGAAAAGACAAGGATACATAAAAACAGTAAAATGTTTATTTTCTTAGAAAAAAAGAGATTCAAAATGATTGTGATCACACTCCCATTCGTGCTCAGCAAAGCCAATACTGCAAGCTTAGTCCTCGATTAAGATACCTATTAAATGAAACTCTTTTCCTCTTAAAATACAAATTCCTGCTCTTGCATCACTTTCCAGCATTTCAGTGATAACATGCTTTTAATGGATAATAGTTTCTCAGCTTCTTCTCAGCAGAGAAACAAGGCCTGCCATGGCAAAACATCCCATCTCCAAAGCTTGAAATCACCAGCATGAATAAGCACTCCGGCTGCACGCGGACTGACAGACAGCGTAAGGGTGTTTCTCAGATGCTTGAATGTTCACTTATGGAAGCTGTGTAACACTACCTCACCTGATAGAAAACAGGCCAGAGGCCTTAATAAAATCAACACCGTCTTTCGGATTAACTTTAAGGATCTGCTGCGTATCTGGACACAGAGAAAGTGAAAAGTTGCAACAAGTTTTAACTAGCAGCAACAAAAATAGTTCCTTATGAGTCCTTAGCAATATTCCTCATCTGTTCATTAAGAAACACTGTAACTGAATGGAGCATATAATGTGGAAATGATCTTCTTTTATGTAGTGCTGTTTGCTCTAGAAGACTTCCAAAAGGTCTCAACTGGGTTGTAATCTATTTACACAGTAGTATTCCTGGTTTGATTGGCAGAATTGGCACTATGTGACATCCTCCTCTTCTGAACAATAATCACGACCCTGCAAGGAAAAAAGCCAGACAGGTTAATGACTTGCTGAGAAAGAAAGCCACAAACTACACTTACAGACCATGTATTTCAGGTCTGTAAACATTCAGAGCCGGGCAGAAAGCTGAAAAACAGGGAGTGATGTCAGCACGACTCCAACAGCCATTTCTGGAGGACCTGCATGGCACCAGGACAGGAAGCCGCTCCCTTTCTGCCCCTGCAAATCCTGTGCTTTTCATTCCCCATTCTGAATCCCAGGGGAGTCCAAACCACTGATTTACAAAGCTTCTCTGAGTAACGCCACACCTGGATGTATGCAGCCTTACAGATCCATCACTACAGCACAGTCTCCAATGCAAAAGCAACCAAGTGCATAATCAAATGAGCAATGCTATGCATGGAGGCACTGCATCACATAACCTCAGCAAGAGCTTAACAGAAGAGCAAAAGACACTATTCATATTGAAATCATAGTTGCACAATGAAGGAAAACAAGTTAAGCTTCAACAACCACAGCT